AGCCCCCGTGTAATAGGTCTTGTACATCAGCTGACGCAAAACGAAACAAAACCTTTGATACCAACGAGTGTATGATTCGTCCGCCCTCAAGATGTGAACAAATCTCACATACATCAGCTAAAGCTATTGATATAAACAGGTGATAAGCACCGCTTCACTTCTCGAGCAAGACAAGTGATGTGTTGCTGATCAGAATTCATAATTCTGGAATCAAAATCCAGTAAACGCCGTGGCCATAAAGACCCGTGAAGATTCGGGGTAGAAAAGGTCTTCAGCAACCCAGGCTTGCCGCAAAAGGGCGACTATGCTTGTTGTAAGAGGCGACTAACGGGATCGTGTGACAGGCTCGCTGACTTGGCTGATGCATGTCATCGTATCCCAACGGCGTGGATCGATGCTCATTATGTCACTGATTTGATTGTCTGGTTCAGACTCGATTATTTACAAACCGCCGTCATATCGCTGGAATATTGCTGAGTGCGGCGTTAAACAACAAACAAACAAAACCATAGAAGCAAACTGCAGGTATTAGCAAGACAGCGAACCCAACCTAACCTTCCGAGTTAAAGAAAGTAAACACCCATGTTTGATGGTAGCTAAAAATGAAACAAACAAGAAATGGTTATTCGATGGTGATGTATTCGAAACGGGTATCATAGTGGTGTTTTGGATCTTAAGTTTGCAGTGTTTCGGCGACCGTTTTCAGCCTTGTAACGTTTTCAGAACGTTTGTAATTATTTGCTCAAATCAAAGACTGCTGTAATGATGGGAAACAATATGAGACTTTGGAGCTGTCGGATTATAAAAGAGCATTTTATTTCACCGTGGTCAACGCCATTGTTATCTCTGTCGTCGTCAGGCCACAGACTGACCAATAACAATTGACCCTGTAGTCAAAGTAACGTTTGCGAAATCCGAGTACAGCTTTTCAACTGCAGCTGGACCATGGTCGACTTTCAGACGACTATCATATCACTATTCCCAGTCTGTTAATCAACACCATCCCGAGCATAGACTCGTTAGTCCAGCCAAAATGGAACCCCATAATTGCAGCCTAGTTCGGCAAGGGTGGAAACTGGACGTTTACAGTCAGTTATAACTCCCTTGCCTCGGGAAGATGGTTGTTCGAAGACAGACGAGCCATGGCGAGTTTGGGTTGTACTTTAGAATGTTGTTAACATATATCAGATTAGGAAAGGGATAGTATAACCTTAAGATAGCGGTAGGGTCATAGAGCCCTAGCGCCAGCCCCCCCCCCCCCCCCCCCCCCCCCCCCCCTTTCCATGGGGTAGGTGGGGCCGGGCTGTGGGGTGGTTGGGTGCGCTGTGGGGGGTGGTTCAAGTGTCACGATATGCCTATCTATAGAACAGCGACATGATCCAGGCACGATATGCTAGCAAGTGGATCCTCCTTGTAGAACAATTGACAATTAGTTCCAGTACAACTCAGTAAGGGAACTGTCAGTGGTGGTATATGCGATAACCCCTATCAACGATAACAAACCTTTACAACATGGATATTCAACACTTTAGGTATTAAAGTGAAAAAAAGCCTTCACAACATAGAAATGATACCAGAAATGACCGTCAGGTTTAGCAGGAATTGGCATCGACAGTGATTCCCCGATAGTATCACCTTCATTGTAATCTGAGATACACAACATCAGGAAGGTATGTTCCGAATGCTTTGAACCTCCTGGAGGGAGGACGTTTAACACCACACCGACCATACAGTATTATATTGCAGACATTGATCACTTGGAACAACATTGTTCAGGAATATAGTTCACCGTTCGTTTGTCGTCATTTTACAGACAATTTCATGTTTACATCAAACAGCCTCTAGTCAATTTTCCTCATCAATAACAGTAACCAACACCACCAATTATACCTGTGCTTGATGCCACGTGACGGCGATATGATGAGAGTTGGGTGAACAAGGGGAGAGGTCATTCTACTGACAATACTATCGCCATCTATACAAACAATACGCCCAATTAATCCACATAATGTTAGTCGTTTAATTGACAGCACTTAAAAACCCCTTTACCCCAAGTCACAAAGTAGCGTATAATTTCTGAACTAGAAACCCCTTAATATCGTTTTACAAACAGTTACCTGTTTGAGAAGTCATGTGTGAAACGCAATGTCATTTATAAAGGAGACACAATGCGCTAAACAATGCAGACTAATTGTAGGTGACATATCTGATTTCTATTTACCATGACATGCTAGATTGCTGGCACCAATGAGCCGCTTTCATTCACCATACTCAACAGTAGCGTTTCAGACAGTGGAATCTCTTGGTTCAAGAACGCTAACCTGAGTTCACCTGGGTTAGTTATCTGCTTACCTGTGTCACCTGGGTTGGTTAACTGCTTAACTGGACAGACAGCGTCTTTCTTGTTACGCCTGGCCTGGTAGCGCTCTCCACTCTCTGGGGGTCTGTTTTCTGTGTAATCCTCTGCCGTGGAGGGAAGCGATTATACACTTTCGGACTGAGGGACATTGGTTTAATCTGCCTGTGCGGTGGGCTCTTCTAGTGTAATTACTTAGCATGGTTTTTAGGGCTACAGGTGTGGTTCTGTGATCGAGATGGTTCAGGTAGGTTGTAGCGGAACAGATAGCAGGAGGATCTATTTATTGGACGTCGTTTTTTTGCTGACCCGTTTTTAACACGTAGAGTTCAGAGCACAGGTAAGTTGTGCCATTGGTGGTTCGATGTTTAAGGGAGTATTTCTAATTTACTAACAGGTAGCGGAAAATGTAAGTATTGTTGTGATGGTGAAAGGTGATTCTCTGTAATTTCCCTCATTCATTTGGCTTCTTCCGTTACCTCGGTAAAGTTGATAGCGTAGTGGATATTGTGTTTGCTTGTCACGTAAAAGATACCCGAGTTTAAGTCCAACATCGGAACAACTGAAACCAATTCAGTCGTTCCTCTTTGACACCGATGCACCATATGCATGTAGGAACAAGAAGAATGTGAATGTTTTTTTGGTCAAAGGAACCTGAGACAGTTCACATCATGTGCCTTACAAGTACACATGCCTACCTGTGTATCACCTTCACTTAATTATATATTAATACTTATTTGTACTTTTTAACGTAATTAAATATAGTGTTGCTCTAACTACATATGAAATATAATCATTTTGTAAACAGAAACATCCTGAAGTTGTACACTGACTTGAAACGAGATATCATAATTGTTGATGTAATCACGTGCATCAGTGCGATGTGGCGTAGGGGCCATTTCAAAAGTTTCTTTTGTTGGAACATACTATCATCAGATTTGCTAGTACAAATATCTCTTCTACAATAGAAAACGGAAGTAGATAATCCTGAAATGTCCATGTACTTTCTTTGAATGTAGATGGTCAAAATACAGTGAAAATGTCTTCAAAACTTTGAGCCGCCCCCTACATTTGGAGATCGATAGGCTGATCAGGTGAATGGGGATAATATCAGTGTAGTTACATGTTTCTGGAACCGGTATCGATTCGGGGGTCAGGGAAGCGGGAGTGGCATCCGGTTAGAAGGCAAAGTAGAACTTGTTTACAGCGCAGAGTAGGTGATATTTTTTCTAGACAGGTAGGTGACTGTGTGGTAGACAGAAAGGTGACAGTATCCTAGACAGGTAGATGTCTGTGTCTTAGACAGGTAGGTGGCTGTGTCCTAGACAGAAAGGAGACAGCATCCTAGACAGGTTGATGTCCATGTCGTATCGTTGATGGTTGTGTATTCTACGCTTAGGTATCTTGAACTATACTCGATGTTTTTGTGTGTCAATTTGCATTTTGCTTTTTCTATACTATGCCATATAATACAAGACCATTCTATGTATGTATCAGAAGTTTTAAATATGATATATAGCAAAAATGCTTCGTGATTTTGTTAAATTGATTCGAGATTTACAGTTATGTTGTTGTATGTTAGGTGCTTGGATGTTTTCATCGTTGTCAACAATGTGTGTTGATAGGGAGAAAAAACGCAATCACTCTGATCTGATAGCTAGGATATGTTGTGTAAAAAAGACAACATTTAGGTATTGTATGACTGTGAAAGTATCGCGTGTCAAACTTAAGTCGTGCAAACAAGTATAAGTTCCTTCCTGAAATCCACGATATACACGTGCTTTGTTCGTGGAGATCATTTGCTGCCAGTGGGTGCAAAATAGTTCCTTCCTGAACTCCACGATATACACGTGCTTTGTTCGTGGAGACCATTGCTGCCAGTGGGTGCAAAATAGTTCCTTCCTGAACTCCACGATATACACGTGCTTTGTTCGTGGAGACCATTGCTGCCAGTGGGTGCAAAATAGTTCCTTCCTGAACTCCACGATATACACGTGCTTTGTTCGTGGAGACCATTGCTGCCAGTGGGTGCAAAATAGTTCCTTCCTGAACTCCACGATATACACGTGCTTTGTTCGTGGAGACCATTGCTGCCAGTGGGTGCAAAATAGTTCCTTCCTGAACTCCACGATATACACGTGCTTTGTTCGTGGAGACCATTGCTGCCAGTGGGTGCAAGTGTAGAGAATTGTTTGAATACTGAAACGTCATTGTTGGGTAAGACATAGGGCTTGAGTGAATGAGTGAGTATGGTTTAACGCCGCTTTTAGACCTATTCCAGCAATATCGCACCAGAACAAAGCTTTCAATGTACCCCTATGGACATAAAGTTAGAAGGAGTTTATTGTGTAACCAATGACCTTTGCAATGGCGTTTCGGACGATCGGTTATCCCTTATTAAATATTAATTATTATGACGTTTCTGCCGTCTTGTGGTTCATTGATCTGCTATCGCTTGATTTCGTTTCTTGACAAGATTATGAATTGGACCGATAAACGAAACGAAACATAAATAAAATGGATTAAGTTTACCTTCTAACCCTTCGCTAACAGCCAACATCAAGGAGCTGTGATTCAGTATGCATTGCAATCAATTTGAAAAGTTTCTGTTCACAATGCATTAACTGCTAGTTTTATCTTTCAGTCCGCTGCTACAACGGCGCGCTGTGACGTCATATGGGGAATTCCCATCCATCCCGCACGTGCGGTCAAGGTCAGCGAGATATCCTTCAGCGGGCGTAGCCATGCCTAGAAGTCACGTGAGCATCGCTAGGTTCTGCGATTGGTCAGAAGATCTTGGTGATTGTATCTCTGTGTCTAAACTGTATCGAGACCTTGCCAACATCCCCCGACTTGGCGACACGGGACGGGGCAAGAACCTGCAGTGGTGTAGCAACGGTGTCAGGGTCATTCCTGGCCGGATGTTCTCACGGGACAAGGGGGCGCTGACGAAAGGAGAAAGGGAGATAATCGCGGGGATTTATCGCAACCGTGGTGAGAACACGCGTGACGTGCAGAGACAGCCATCTCCAGTTCGGAACCATTACGAGGCTTGGCTGGTGGGTAGGACCATATCTAAGAGCGGGGGGTCGAGGTATGATGATACGCCCAGACACAGCGCGCACAAATGTCAAGGGGATTCGGAATTCAAAGTGCCAGATTCCTTGTACATCAAGTCTCATTCCATCACTGATGATGGAACTCAAACATCAAGGGAGTCATCGTGTTATTTTTGTGCGAAGGAGAGAAACAATTCTAAAAACCAATCGGATTCATTTTGTGGTGAGACGTCAGTTCACTGTAAGGACAGTGGTGATTGGTCCGATGAAGGGCCCGCGGCGCCCCCCAGCACTCCTGATAGGCTGCTTCAAAAACGCGCACGCGCGAAGGGATATGGCGGCAGTGAGAACTCGTTTTCCTTCTCAGACAGCCCGGAATCAACCAGGCTGGACTCTCCGAGGAGAGTTCGGGTGAATGTCTATTTGCCAGCAATGGCGGCAGAGCAAACCGAAGAGGATATTAAAACCTGCCTACTTCACGGGAGGAGCCTGCTGCGGAAGGAGAGACCTCTCAGCCAATCAGACTTTAGGTTAAAGAAAGACACATCTGCATCACAGGGTGATCAGCATCCACACTCAAGACCCTCAACCCTAAGGGATCGACCGTCACGTGCCTCCCATTCCCATAACAGTATTCGAGAGGACGGCGAGACGGGGGTTTCAGAAGACAAGACACGGGAAAATACGATGAGACTTGGGTGTGAGCTCAGTGAGTGACCCGAAGGACAAACACAACTACTGAACTATAACTACAGCAAATGTGAAAAAATCCACTGGAACCAAAGGGGCTCCTTTAACAATTGAACCACTGACTTATCTCCCCTGTCGTGACGTGCGCTACCTCGTCGAGTCGTGATCCAAACGGTCAAGTCGTACGACTGTCCGATTGCTGTTCGTTCTTTTCGTTGCTGAAATTTTGACTGACTAAAACAGCACCAGAAACACCACTACTACTTTAAACCTCGGCTGTATATTTGTGGCTGAACCCAATTTAATATAGATTGTTTCGTGGACTTGAAAGATCTTCAGGGGCCCCCCTCAGCTGCCGTATCATCCCCTGGGATGTAGATATAGACTTTGAAACATTAAATACCCAATTTTCGATTCATATATCCCGATCATCCATGCATCCTTTGGAAATATCTACATATGACATTGATCTCATTTTGTCTAATGTCCAGGGTACCACCGATACTCCCCGTACAGTTGGTACCAGAACTCTGTATATTCCTCCAGATGAAGCAATTACAGGGGTTGTCAGATGACTAGTGCCTTGGAACTGTAACAAAACATGGCATTAGAAGTAAATTGATGTCAGTTTCTGTATTGTAATGCGTGTATGTCACTTTGTAAACAAACATGTCAAAAAATGTTTTTAAAAAATTATTATTTTATATGAAAATATCTATTGGTACTTTATTACTTTCAAGTGTATATGGAGGCGGGTTAGCCGAGTGGTTAAAGCGTTCGCTCGTCACGCTGAAGACACGGGTTCGATTCCCCACATGGGTACGATGTGTGAAGCCCATTTCTGGTATCCCCCGCCGTGATATTGCTGGAATATTGCTAATAGCAGCGTAAAGCCATACTCACTCACTTCAAGTGTAGTTACTGCACAGTGTACTTATCTTAACAAGCAGCTGCTCCCAGGCAGACCCAGCCTGTTGACAAACACGAACCCGCCTTTACGACACACTATTTCGATCCTGGATGATTGTCAGGCTGTGTCTAAACAATGGTATTTGCGTTAGTGTTGCAAAATAGCTTCAATTGTGTTTGTGCCTATCCGGACGAGAGGTCACGATTTGATGCAGAGGGAAGAAATATGGTTGTTTTACAAACCGACAATATTGACAGTGGCATTATCGGTGGAACACAAGCTTTAACTGTGATATTCGACGTCTTGGATTGTAGATGACTGTGCTATCAGTGGGGATGGAAATGCTCGACGTGAAATAGAACGAATACTTGCTCCAGCGTACATTTCCTCCAAAATCATCCTCAGTACCAAGCGTATTTAAGCACATCCTTGTGTATCCAGGGTATTATATCTTGATTCTATTTTCATAAGTACCATTGGCTTTTCCGCCACCATAGCTTCTTTTGGGAAGTGACGTCACCGTCTTCGATTCTCTGTCAGTAAGTTCGCACGGGGACCCGTTCAACAAAGCGATCGTAGCGCCAAGGTGATAGTAACTAGTAACTACCACACTTTAACATAGACTTACGACAGTCATAGCACTACGAAGTCCAGATTTTCCCTCGCTCACGAATAATTCTTTTTTTAGCTTCGTGTCGATCGAAATAGAGAAGGGAGCTATGGTTGCGAATGGATCCAGAGTATTTATCAAATTTAATGAAGGTATGATATATTGGACAATTATTAAACCACTATTTACAAACATTATATATTTTGAAAAAGTTTGAAATGGGGGTTACCATTATCTTAAATTTCGTTTTTGTCTATAAGAATAAAGTTGTATCAAGAAGCATTTTTACAACCATGTCTTCATCCTTGTCACATGTTGTTAGAATTTAAATACATGCGATGTATTGCCTTGCTTTCTGTACATCTGAATCGTATAGTAAAAACGCCTCAGATTTTTTTCTGAGGACAATCTGACTTTCAGGGTTACTTTTATCTGTTTTTTGCTGGTGTACAATATCATTAAAATCATATCTTTGTTCTCGCTAACGTTAAACAAAGATCTGAGGACAGCCCTTTACGGGTCACGTCAGAACTATCTTTCGCGAACTTTGACCGACCACTGAAATTACAAACAGGAAGTCGACATTAGCCAGAGACTATATACCGATATAGCCTATCAGAAAGCAGCTTTCTCGAGGTTGACGGCACTACTTTCAGACTGGCGACGTCCATTCCAGACTACACTTTAAAAAATATCGATTCAAAGTTGAAGACCGAGCCAAAGAACATTCTAAATGTCTAATAAATGGCCGATATGGCGTGGCAGTACTTCCCACGGGCTATGGAACGTGGCTTCCGTTTCAAATATTTATCCCTTAGAAGCGAGAGATATACGATGATTTTGACGCAATAAATCGTACATAACTGTCGTTCGGAATGCCCCATGTTAACCTTTTCGACGTTGCATGATTAGAAAACATTCCGACTGTCAGCTTCCCGATCTGGTAACCGAGGCTCTGATTGGTCGGATATAACGTCGTACTGGCGTGACGTGACGTGAATAAGATCTGATATTTATAAGATTGAGTGAAGTCTTAATTTCTCTCCAAGTGAGTGAGTGAGTGAGTTGGGTTTAACGCCGCTTTTAACATAATCGGGGCGAACCGGGATTCGAACCTACGATCATAGCTTTCTGGCATGCCCAAGGGACGCAACTCTGCAGTGATTTGCGATGAACCGGCCACCTGTGGCCCCCAATGATTTTGAGGCAATAAGTCGTGGGTTTCACCGAAGTGGTAAACGTCTGACACCTGCATCACTTCGGACTGTCCTCCCACATGAAGCTGACACGCCGCGATATAACTAGAACACTGTTAAAAGCGGCGTTAAACCCAACTCACTCACTAACCCACGAACACGGGTATGGTACTGACAAACCTAGAAACATAATCGGGGCGAACCGTGATTCGAACTCAAAATCATAGGTTTCTGGCGTGCCCAAGGGACGCAACTCTACAAAGCGAATCGTGGCTCCTTAGACGACTGCCCCCTCCAAGTGAGTGAGTGAATTGAATATAACGCAATGTTGACGAACGCTTTATCATGCTGGCAATGTGGTTTTGTGGCGTACGAAGCCGCAATTCACGCGGAGTTGCGTCCATCAGATAGGTAATGCAGGATCAGTTACTAATGGGTTCGAATCTTAGTCATCAGTCCTTCGGAAAGGTTACTTTCAGACTGGCGACGTACCCTTGGCCCCTTTCCACAAAGCGATCTTCGGACTACGACGATATTAAGATCACTTTTGTGGAACGGGTCACTGGTGGGTACGTCTTCAGCCATCAATGCTTGCCGTAAAAGGCGACTATGCTGGTCGTAAGAGCCGACTAACGGGATCGGGTGGTCAGGCTCGCTGACTTGGTATGATGCATGTCGTATCCCAATTGCGTGGATCGATGTTCATGATGTCAATCACTGGATTGTCTGGTCCAGACTCTATTATTTACAGACAGCCGTCATATAGCTGGGGTATTGCTGAGTGCGGCGTTAAACAACAAAGGACAAGGGGTGTCACCAACGTCGCCGATAGCAGGTAAGATTGCGACTAAATGGATCATTTGGTCAGGCTCAGTGACTTAGTTCATTGTGTGTCTTCATATCTCAATTGCGTGGATCGATTCTCATGTCAATCAATGGACTGGTTGGTCCAGACTGGATTATCCACAGACCACCGTCATACAGCTGTATTGTTGCTGAATGCGGCGTTAAAAAGTGAGCGAGTTGGGTTTCACGCTGCTTTTAACAGTATTCCAGTTATATCGCGGCGTGTCAGCTTAATGTGGGAGGAAAGCCCGAAGTGATGCATGTCTCGGACGTTTACCAGTTCGGTGAAACCCACGAGCACGGGTATGGTGCTGACAAACCTAGAAACATAACCGGGACGAACCGGGATTCGACCCAACAATCATAGGTTTCTGGCGTGCCCAAGGGACGCAACCCTGCAGTGATTTGCGACGACTGGGCCACCTGTGGCTCCCAATTCCCGATGACGTGATGTTGACTGGGTAATCATTAGCCACTATTAGTACAGTTTCAGTAACATGTCTGGTCCATGCTGTACAATTCACAGGCTCCATTATACAGATGGAATAATACCCCAAAATTCAGAATCATCCGCTCTCTCCCTACCATCACCCACGCACGGTGCTAACTGTTTAACTGCTTTTATCAACTTCACAACACTGACCCCATTATCTGTTCAAACACTATAAACCGATTGTCTCTCGTCAAACGTTTAAATGCTTTATGAGATACATAAATACCACGCACATTAACTTCTCTATACAATGAGCTGTGTATATTGTAATGGTAGAGAGACAGAAAATGGACCTTTCGAGTGAGTTGGATTTAATGCCGCTTTTAACAGTATTCCAGTTATATCACGGGGTGTCAGCTTAATGTGGGAGGAAGGCCGGAAGTGATGCAGGTCTCGAACGTTTACCACTTCGGTGAAACTCACGAGCACGGGTATGGTGCTATTGGGATCGATGTTCATGATATCAATCACTGGATTGTCTGGTCCAGACTCGATTATTTACAGACCGCCGTCATATAGCTGGAATATTGCTGAGTGCGGCGTTAAACACAACAAACAAACAAACAAACAGATGCCGCTTAATTGTGTGCCTAGGTTTCCAAGCACAATACAGTGCTCGTGGGTTTCAGCACGGTGGTCAACATCAGAGACCTGCGTTAAGCTGCCTGCACTGAAGATGTTTCATGAAGATGGACGATAGAGTCAATGATTCTGACGTGTGCAATTAAACTTGTTAAAAGAAAATTCTCAAGTGTCAAATTACAGAAATTGTTTAAGTGAGGCGAAATTACCCCTTTTCACAATAGTACGTACACTGTGGTGCGCTTAAAATATACCAGATCATATAGTGACTTTTATGAAGAATCATTTAGTTTCTAAAATTGATTTGCAACAAAGATGACGACCGCGGCAATGTATTATGGTTATTCTTTACATAGGCCATATGGAAAATGAGTCACATAATATGAATATCTGTAACAACCAGTGGGCGAAAGAAAGAAGTCTAACTGGTCCAAAGTGGATCTTGTGGGATTGAATGATTGCCCGCCGCTCGTTACCCATGCAAAAATGCAAACCATCAGATAAGGTGAAATGGGGTTAAACGTCGCGTTCAAGGTTATTGCACTTCTATATATCTATATATCTATATATATATATATATATATATATATATATATATATATATATATATTTATATTTATATATATAGTGCTAGCCTACTGAGATTCCATGCCGCAGTTTAACATGAATACCCCACTCAGACACAGTATACTGACTCCCAGCCGACCAGTCCTTGTTTAAGCCCCTTAATGCCGAGCGGCAGACAGGGTAACAAGAAGTACTTCTATCTTTTAACGTCTTTTGGTATGACGCGGTCGGGGATCGAACACCGGCGGACGCTCAGTCAGATAAGGAGTATCAAACAAATCAGTTGATATGTCGACACAGATTCTGCCAGATACACTGAAGTGGCGCTGCTCTATGGGATGAGCTTCCAGTGGATGTTAGGAGATCTAAGGGTGTCAGCAGCTTCCGGTCAACACTCAAGACCATCCTCTTCAAAAGAGCATATGACTGAGGCTCTTGAACAGGGAGTATCTGAATAAGATGTGCTTTAAAAATCTATTATTCATGATAATTTGTTATAACGCCTGTGTGCATTCAAACCCGCGATATTCGCATACACATGACCACGCCATCCCAAGAGGTATATAATCACGCAGATGTGCAGTCACCCACTTCCTCCCTATAACTAGCATCCAGCATAACGCTTTAATGTCCGTTACGTACCACCCCGTTGCCTTCATTCATGACAGGAACAACGCTGTATTGCCAGATCAAACAGTACGGACTCTTAACGTTACATTATCTTCATCAATACAGTCATTATACCGCGCTAATGCTCGGGATGAAGTGTGAACTAATGAACGTAACAACCATAGCGATCTCACTAATCTACATTACACGTTATGAGATTTATGAAGGATGTATATCTCTTTATGTTATTGATTTACAATCCCAATGACCAGGATATCAATATGAGAGGTCAAATGTTCGCATGAAGGCGGAAATGGCATATTTATACATCGATACCGCATGCAAAGAAAAGAATCGACATGTTTTTACACGACCCAGGAACAGCAGTTTCCAAAAAAGGACTGTGCGCGTATTTACTGATGAGTCCTTAACTATGTCACATGCCTGTAGAGAAATGACATCAGAAGGTATGTGAGTGATTTGGATTTAACGCCGCTTTAACAGTATTCCAGTTAAATCACGGCGTGTCAACTTAATGTGAGGAAAGCCCGAAGTGATGCAGGTCTCAGACGTTTACCACTTCGGTAAAACCCACAAGCATGGGTATAGTGCTGACAAACCTTGAAACATAATCGGGGCGAACTGGGATTCGAACCCACAATCATAGGTTTCTGGCATGCCCAAGAGACGCAACTCTGCACAGCAAATCGAGGCGCCTCAGACGACTGGGCCTACCGTGCCCCAACATCAGAAAGGTTTATTGTCCAGTAAGCAGGGTTTTCTAAGCGTTAATATCGCAGACAGTTCTTCAACATCGATTCAAACCTTTAACACTACACGCAGCTATATGACGGCGGCTTGTAAATAATAGTCTGAAGTCCCCGACAGCCCCCAACCCCCTCCTCCACAAAGTGGTCACAGCGCTGAGACGGAACAGGACCATAGGCTGGTAGTATTATGTATAATAGTCCATATGATCAAAATTCATCACATTTACACTGATGACCAATCTTATCCTATCTTAGGACGTCTTGATATATGTAATGATATTTGATAACTGCTGCAGTAAGCTGTAATCCCTCATACTTAAAATATACTAACACTTTATAACACAAACACACCTGCTTTCTGGCCCAAATAAAAAATATATATACATAAGGGTGTATCTTTTTTTGTAAAACACATTAAGGGAGGGTCATTCTATTCAGTACATTTAAACATTATAAACCTCTGACCCAACCCATTTATATTAATATAATAATGATAATATAAAAGTACATTTTGACATCGTATTTTTAAAGAAGATTTCAACACCCTCCAACAATAAACATCAAGACAAGAACATAGTAATTAATTGCGTTTTATTCAATAAATATAGAAAAAAACATAACAAATGGTGACTGATATGTCCATATGGAAATGTTTGAGCGCAATGGACCTTGCTGGTCAGAACATACCAGCAACTAACCACTTTTCAAGGTTAAGCAGTCAGTACCCGCAACAATGAAGCTGAAAAATGAAAACAAATAAAACTAAATTCATCTTTCATAATTATTATCTGCCCTCATGACCTTGATTTTCATGCCGCCATTTAAATGAGCATGAAACCATTTTCTTTTGCAAACCACACGATTATTTGATAATCTTAACTCACAGAAGGAACAAACAACATGGAATACTCTGCATATTGTCTAAAACATTAAAAAAATTATGCATGTCACAAATATTACATACATGTATATCACTGCAAAGACAGAATGTTGAACTGGTTTAACAGAAGAGCTTACTTCAGATGGAAGCGTATCACAGATGTCAGTTTTAGTTACGAGTATCCGTGATTGTGGTATGGCAAATGTTTCTATTGTCCTTCAGAACACATGCAAAGTTCAAGGTCACACCAGTGTCACACGAGGCCAAGGTGCATCATAGTTGTCAGTTTTAATCAAGAGTATCTGCCTTTTTTGCTGATGTTTCTATTCCCCTTAGAAGGAACATATGCAAAGTCCAAGGAGGGATCAGTGTCACACAAGGTCAAGGTCAATGTGTATAGCAGACCTCGATTATAATCATGTGGACCTGTGACTGCCTTATTGCTTGTTTTTATTACCCTTGAGAAACACATGCACAGTTCACACAAGTTCAAGTTCAAGGTCAAGGTCTGAAATACGCGTAAGACAATACAAGTGTTTATTGCACTCACAGAGACTTTTCTCTCCATGTTTTGGTACAAGCAAGATAACACTCATTGGTGAGTATTAGGGCTGGGGCGAGTCCAAATTTACTACCCGGGTACCAACCACCCCATTACCCGACCCTACCCGGGTACCCGCTGTAGATATTAAGAGATAGGTACAAACTGTCCGATTTGGAAAAGTTTGACCGTAGCCCTGGCAAAATGTATTTAGATACACGTGTAAAACGATCTGGTCATGCATACACTAAGTTTGCTGCATGAAGTTTTATCGTTATTCAAACATATAAAAGTCAGAAGGAATGGGTGCATTGTCAGAGAGAAATGGGAACATTAGTGATTTATAGCGTAACCATAGAGTTTTAGATAATTTTTGTCATTAAACAATATATCACGTGACTAACCACGGGTCCGGGTAGTCCTGTGGATACCCAGGTCCTACTAAGGACCCTCCCGACCCGAGTACCCGAGTTACCCGACCAAGCCCTAGTACGTATGCTGGCTGACGTCACCTGAGATGTTGGTTACCAACTGACCATACTGAATTCAAATATACATATAAAAAACGATTGATTTCAGGCAAACTTGTTTCTGAAGAACATAAGATAGTCTGTATCTAGCTCGTAACAGCTTCAAGAACTATTCAACACATCAACATTTTGAAGTGGTTGAATAAGTAGTGTTTCCCTAGAAGTAATCCGCATCTCTAAAAATCTAAAAATCACAGCTTGATTAAGTTAGACTTGACACAAGGGTAAGTCCTGGTGTTTGATTTATGTCTATGACCTGACATTGTACTCAAAACTCAAGTCATTTGACCACCACCTGAACGTGTGAGGAACCCCGTGATATTTAAGCAAACATGTTCAAAGACAATGTAGCATCTGTTTAAATGGGACTTAAGTATGACTGCATTTGCGATATGGTATCTATAGTTGGGGAACATTTTATTGTGTGTAGCAGATATTTTGGCCAGTAAAATGAGTTGAAAATAGAATCAAGACTTTCCCAGTTTCTCCCTGCTTATAACTGTATTATGCTGAGGTTTTGCCTTGAAACCCTGTCAACATGTACGCAAGTAGCTGTGTCCCTCGATTAATGATTAACAATTATCCCCGTGTGGTATGGGTTTTCGGACGTTTAAGAAATATTCATAGTTTTTTCTCTTATCACAAGAAAAACTGTAAAACATCTTACTCAGTCATAAAAAATGACCATCATCTGAGTACTTACAATGTCTGTGTGACGCCACATTCCTTGCTAAAGCGCGAGTAATCGCGTTAAACATGGCCGACCAAAAACATATGAAGTCCGAAAACCTCATCTTCCCGAGGCAAGCGTGTCCACTAGACTTTATCAAAGCCTAGTTTCTACCCTTGCCACGTCAAGGGTACATTTCTTGGCTCAACCATGGCACCTCCTTGCGGAGATCAGGAGTTGTGCCCCTTGTTATGAAAACGCGACATCCAATCAGACCGCTGTTCTTATCTCGCATAGCTTCACAAAGATGGCGACTACCATAGTAGGCGACGACATGGTTGCAATAACGAAAACATTCACGATTTCATCCCTGTCACACAAAAAACAGGCAATCGTTTGGGGATTTAAAAGATGAAAAAGACATATTGGTGTCTACAAAGACAGGCAGCGGTAAATGACACGAAGGTGTACCAGTCGTGGATGTTGATTTTGTGAAACCTTCTCTGATTGGACTATCGATATGTGCGATAGTCCAATCATATTTAGCTCAGGAAAGTGGGTATGATGTGGCAAGGGTGGAAACAAGACATTGATAAAAAGGCTAGTGGATGCTCTTGCCTCGGGAAGATGGAAAACCTATGATCCGACGATATGAACATGACATGACTCTGAAATGTTTCATCATCTCAAGGGTGAATTTATGATTGATCATCATTCTGGCAACATTAATATATCACAAGTAACAAAATATAATGTCACCCATGTCAATACAAAATATCAAAAAACAAGTTATGAAACAAGCAATCATACAAAGTTCACATCCAAACCAAGCAAACATCCACCCGGAATAAGGAAGCCAGTGTTTACTGTTGAACACAACAGTTGTCATGGTATTAAGCATTCTGGTTAGAGGGTTCATAGTTATCTCGTCACTGCTGGTCCAGTCAGATTTGGGATATTGTTTTTTTTTTAATAACAAATACGAAACAAAACAAAACACTATTGCTTAAGCACCAACTGGATAATATCAGGAACTTGCCCACAAGCCTGAAGTGTAATGACCTCACGATATTGCTGTTGCAGTTGATTCACTGGTTATTTTGAACATTCATCATAAACAACTAAAACTGAGGTAACTAAAGGTCATTATGCAAAATTATAGAGAATCCATTACATAGCTTAAGTCAGAGAACTCACTCAAATTTGTTGATAGCGGAAGTAAATCATAAGAATCTCATGATTTCTTCATTACAAAATCTGCCCTTTGTTATAGTTCATTCTTGATAGTGGTATATTTGCCACATCTATTTCAATCATGATGCAAGAATTATCACATCAGATCAGCAATTTGGAGCATGATTATAAATACAAAATAATTTCATATCAGAAACAGAAAAATTAAAAGAATTGCTTCTAAGGCAATGATTTTAAAAAATATTGTGCAGGTGGTTGTTTTTCTCTCTTTTCTTTGCTTGTTCAAACAAGTATGTAACCAAAAAACAGTTGTGTACCATCAACCTTGGAAAGGGCCTCCCTACATAAACAAGCATACAAACTCCTATTGCCTCCATGACCATAACGCAGATGTGCAGTAAAGCAGTGCGCATGTAAAGGGAAGTAACTGTGTGCTATATTGGAAGATATTGTCTTTAAATGTTAGGATTTTTTATACTTTTTTGAAAATGGAAATAACAAGTATTTGTCACAAAGTGACGAAATGTCCCCCGCCTGTATATACACCATAGTACCAAATATGAAGACAATCCAGCGATTAGTTCTTGAGATATTGCGGTAACACCGTTTTCCAACTCCAAAAACAGATTTGCCTGCTGTGACCTTGAAAATGGGGTCAAGGTCACCAAAACCGACTGGTGTCTGCGGAGTCTGTATATACACCATAGTTCCAAATATGAAAACAATCCAGTGTTTAGTTCTTGAGATATCGCTGCAACACCGTTTTCCAACTCCAAAAGCAGATTTGCCTGCTGTGACCTTGAAAATGGGGTCAAGGTCACCACAACCGACTGGTGTCTGCGGTGTCTGTATATACACCATAGTTCCAAATATGAAGACAATCCAGTGTTTAGTTCTTGAGATATCACGGCAACACCGTTTTCCAACTCCAAAAGCAGATTTGCCTGCTGTGACCTTGAAAATGGGATCAAGGTCACCAAAACCGACTGGTGTCTGCGGTGTCTGTATATACACCATAGTTCCAAATATGAAGACAATCCAGTGTTTAGTTCTTGAGATATCGCGGCAACACCATTTTCCAACTCCAAAAGCAGATTTGCCTGCTGTGACCTTGAAAATGGGATCAAGGTCACCAAAACCGACTGGTGTCTGCGGAATTTGTATATACACCATAGTTCCAATAAACGGCAATAAACAGGTGGGACGTACGGACGGACGTACGGACGGACATACGGACGGTCGTGAATACTATATCCCCCGCTTCGCGCTTTCGCGCGGCGGGGGACAAAAAAGAAACATGCGGCTGGCTTTATGATAATGCATGCAGTGCCTGGGAGCCATGACTATTATTTTTTTTAGCCTAGCATGAACAAAATAAATGTGTCAACTTAAACAGCATGCAAGTGTGTTTACATTGAAAGGGTTGTGACTGTGACTTGTTAAGAAGCAGGCTCCACCCCACGGCATGCCACCTTCATTAACCTTCCTGACCACAGAGATATCCCTGTAAGGAGCTTTACAGTATCTGATACATCAGACAGGATGTCTGATTGGTCTTACCACTGGCTTACATTAAGCTATTATTATTATTATAAAGGTGGGGTATGATGATACATGTTCAACCAAATCTCCAAGCTTCAAGATCCAATCCATGTGGTCACCTCATACAACCAGCACAGGTTGCGGGGGACCTATTCTAACCTGGACTGCCCACATGATATGAAATTTGATGTTAGACCCAATATGTTAAAATATCACTTTGACTTCAAGATAGATTATATTACATAGGTTTGATATGTTAATGTCGTGAAATAATGCATCCATTATTCAAAATATAGCTATTTACACTTATAAAGCAATGTGCTTTTGCCTCTTGTATGTTGCTTGATGGCTTGTGAATGTTCTCTCTCCATATAACATTGTAATGTAGAATGGGCCTGTGACCGAACCTACTAAAAGATTGATGTGAAGAAAAATGGCCTGAATGAAACAAACAGCACTGGAATTAAGTATTATCATAATATAGAGGAATCTGTCAAAACAGAACTCTCACTAATTTGGATCTTTGTCAATAGAGACCAAATTTAGAGTCAAGAGTTTACAATGAGAATTCATCATCAAGTAAGAAATGGATTAGTGAAAAAATATCATACTTGATTACTCTCATCCTGTGACAACAAGGGAGGTAACTCCTGTACATGTGATGTTAAATCTTTACAAGAATTAAAAACGTGAATCAAAACCAGCCTGGATCACAGAACCTGTACCCATATGCATGATGGGCTAACACATGAACCACTGGGCCAAGATCCTCCAGCAAAGGCCACACACAATGACAGTAGTCCAAAGGTTCAAAAGCTATTGGAAACATTCATGCACAAATGAGTGAGTGAGTGGTTTGTTTTTACACCACTATGAACAGTATTTCAGTTATATCACGCTGTGTGAGGAAAGCATGACAAGCACCTTGGTGAAAATCACAAGCATGAGTATCGTACTGTCTAAACTGGAAATAGGGCGAACCAGGATTTGAAACTACGATCATCGATTTCTGGGAAGCTAAGGGACGCAACTCTGCACGTGGAGATACAGCATTGAATTGGCAGTGTTGAAGTCAACCTTCTTACACATGTATTAAAGTGCTTGCTCTCAAAGGTTCCTTAATTCACAGGGGACCATGCTCCACTGTCTGGAACCCATGTCCAGTCTATGTCAAAACGGTGTAGTGAGTGAAACTGCATTTTTTCTGATAGATTAGTAAACATCATAACATTTGATTCCACAGAAAAACAATATTGTTTTTTTTATGATTTGAACCTGCCTGGATTGTCAGTTGACCCAACTGCTAGTCACCCCATTAGTTTAACTAACACTCAATCTGCGATGACCTGATAGTCTTGGAGTAACGAAATGGAGATGTGTGGCAGTGGCTGGTGATTAGATCACCCTAAAACAACAATTTATAAACTGCACAATTCCTCATCTCTTGATAAAAGCAATGGCAAGTCCAAGTCCGATAGACACTAAAGCCAGTGTGGCCGACACTTTTTTCAGGTAATTCGTACTGCTACTCCCTGAGAACATGGATGGCCACCAGGTTGTCTGGTCAGAGTTACTTCCCCTGGAACTGTCGGCAGACGTCTGGGAAGAGCTGGTGACAGTCTGAAAATTGTCTGAGTCTGCTGGTGCATCAGATGGAAAGTCCACATAATCTGTTCCATTTGTTAAATGTTGAGGAGGACTTGGTGATGTGTCCTGAGTGTGTGTGCTGACGTCTGCCTGGGCTGGTGCAGTTGTTGATGTGGAAGTTGCTGCAGGTGCAGTGACAGATACACCGCCCTGGGCGAGGGGGTCAGCAGGATGGCTGTTGGGTTCTGGCGATGTCACACATGAGCTGCTTGATTCTGTTGACACCAGTCCACTCTGAAACAACGTAAATATGGGGTCATGACTTTCAAGGTTGATGACACGGAGTGTCCTTGTAGCTTGACACCCCACTCAGCAATATTCCTGATGTACGAAGGCAGACTGGACCAGACAAGAAAGAAGTGAGCAAAGCTCACAGACCCCTGTTATCCCGGCTGGTCAACAACAAATAGTAAATAGTTTTAACTTCAATGTTTTAAAAACTAAGATTGAGTTCCAGTGACAATTGACACCCCCAAGTCTCCCATGTTACCAGTGTTCACTACGAGGAAGTAGATCACCATGAACACCTTTGAATAAAAATTTGATTGAGGAGTTACATAAGAAGAATCATCAAAAGGGCCAAAAATTGTTGATATAAAAACACATAATTGGAGATTTATGACATCGAAAATGGAACAATATCATATAAGAAAATCAATAAATTAATAATTTCCATCTAGCCTTAACAGATATGGTAAAGAATTCATAAATTCAAACTAACACAAAGCACAGATACTTATGATGATCTACATGTGTGGAAACAATTTTGGAAAATATATTAGCTATACAAAACCAGTCATCAAAATTTCTAAATTCCATCATGTTTCCATGAAAACAGCAAAAGAGAAAACTTTCAGAATCTTATAAAAGATAACAAACAATCATAGTGGTTAATGTAGCAAGTTTGAAGCTAGGATACATAATATTGTAAACATGGATTGTACAAAAACTCTACCCAAAATTTATGTTTCACCATGATTCCATGGGCAAAAATTAAAAAATTCAGAATCTTTAAACTAGCAAAAGGCACAAGTACTCATTGTGGTAAATGTATGTAGCAAGCTTGATGAAGCTAGGATGCATGGTTAAAAAGATAAGGGCTGTACAAAACACCCACCCTAAAAGTTTAAGTTTCTTAATGTTTTCCATGGAAACGACAAAAATTCAAAAATTCAGAATCTTAAAACTAGCAAAAGGCACAAGTACTCATTGTGGTAAATGTGTGTAGCAAGTTTGGTGAAGCTAGCGTGCATAGTTAAAAAGATATAGGCCGTACAAAACACCCACCCTAAAAGTTTAAGTTTCTTAATGTTTCCATGGAAACGACAAAAATTAAAAAATTCAGAATCTTAAAACTAGCAAAAGGCACAAGTACTCATTGTGGTAAATGTGTGTAGCAAGTTTGGTGAAGCTAGCGTGCATAGTTAAAAAGATATAGGCCGTACAAAACACCCACCCTAAAAGTTTAAGTTTCTTAATGTTTCCATGGAAACGACAAAAATTAAAAAATTCAGAATCTTCAAACTAGCAAAAGGCACAAGTACTCATTGTGGTAAATGTGTGTAGCAAGTTTGGTGAAGCTAGCGTGCATAGTTAAAAAGATATAGGCCGTACAAAACACCCACCCTAAAAGTTTAAGTTTCTTAATGTTTCCATGGAAACGACAAAAATTAAAAAATTCAGAATCTTCAAACTAGCAAAAGGCACAAGTACTCATTGTGGTAAATGTGTGTAGCAAGTTTGGTGAAGCTAGCGTGCATAGTTAAAAAGATATAGGCCGTACAAAACACCCACCCTAAAAGTTTAAGTTTCTTAATGTTTCCATGGAAACGACAAAAATTAAAAAATTCAGAATCTTCAAACTAGCAAAAGGCACAAGTACTCATTGTGGTTAATGTGTGTAGAAAGTTTAGTGAAGCTAGGGTGCATAGTTAAAAAGATATAGGCCGTAAAAAAGCTTGGACGGACGGACAGACGGAACGCTATATACCCCCGATTTACTTCGTAAACGGGGGTATAAAAATCCAGTGATTAATATTGAGAGCAACATTCCTTATGACCAGTATAGGTTTCTGTTGTCCAATTCTAACCCCGAATCCCAAAAGGGTGTCCCTGATTGATTGAGGAACTAAAGCCTCGTTTGCATGCACTACTTTTTTACAGAAAAAACAATATTGTTTTAATGATTTGAAATATGCCTGGATTGTCAGTTGATCCAACTGCTAGTCACCCCTTATAATTAACTAACACTCAATCCATGATGAATTGATACTCTTGGAGTAAAGAATCGATGGGGGTACGAAATTTGATCGACCTAATAAGTTGGCGTATTGAACCACCAGGGGTAAATTTCACAAACATGTTTATATGACAAAATTTCCCACTCAGGGCACATTATGTGCCCGATGGTTAGTTAGGCTTAAGTAAGCAATATTCTAGCTATATCTATCCTAAAGATCAAGTTTCACCTTAATCCAAAAGCACCTTGTCATGTTGAAGTCTCTCAAACTTGATTGGAGAAACATTGAAGGCATGTATTTTGGTGACACATGCAGCCGTAGCCAAGGCAACCATGTTGGTCGGGGAGTGTTTGGGTGTTGTGTGACGGGATTCGGGAACAAGTAGAACAAGAAGAAAATTGCAGACAGTCTCAGCAGGATTAGAAATAATTTGATAATGAGTGAGTCGCACTTTTAACAGTATTCCAGTAATATCACAGTGTATCGGGTTGATGTGGGAGGAAATCCCGAAGTGATGCAAGTATTAGACGTTTACAATTTTAATGAAACCCACAAGCACGGATCGTATGGTCCTGACAAACCAAGAAACATAATTGGGGCGAACCGGGGTCTCGAACCCACGATCATAGGTTTCTGGCACGCCCAAGGGACACAATTATGTACAACGCTTCAAAGAATGTGTACTGTAGATTTGCATAGATCATTTCAGCTAAGGTGCAATTAAAAGAGTTACAACATTAAACAAACATGAAAAAAAACTCATTCTGGACCATCACTCAGTAGGTCATCAACAAAAAAAGGCTGATTTGTCAGTGAATATATTGCATTTGCTGTGTCACGAAAAAAACATATCCAAATCTTTTGTCAAATTATTTAGGAACTGAACACATTTTTGGCATGCGAAAAACATTGGAATTAGACTAGGCTTCCCAGTACCTACCCATCCTCCCTGCTGGATGATGAAGTCTGCAGCCAGGTCGGCCAGCAGCTTGACGGAGTAGTCCACCACATTACTGATGCCCTGCCCTCCTGCCGTAGCCATCCTGAACGCCACGCCCTGACTATACAGCAGCAGCAAGGCAACCTGAACACGCAGAACAATCTGTGTCATTCAGAATCTTGCAACTGATGCCTGTATTGGTTGAGGAAGATGAGGAATTCATTTTAAGAAAATACAAAGGCATTTATCTTGACCTATTCAGGGACTGATATTCCGCAAATGTAAGGAAAACCTCCGAAATTGGATAAAAAGAAATTGAATTTTTTTTCATAAATCCTGGTCACTAATTAAGAAATACACAGAGAGGAGTTGTCTTGACAATAAAACACTGCAGGGAGAACAAACCATGAGGAGCGCAGCCTGCGGTCATTGGTTTTTTGTGTTTTGTTGTAAATAAACAAATCTTTCTCTCTGTGTATTTTGTTTATTCTTAAATGAGATTTTCAACATTATTCACAACCTCAAAATTACAAAATTTACAGGCTCTAAACATACTTAGCCCTATGTAAATAATGATGAGACCCTGAATAAAATCTGATCTCAGAAATATCGGTCAAGTCCATTTTATAAACGGGGGACAAGTTTGGTATTTCCTGCATATTCTCACAATTCTCACATCGATTATCTGTAACTTTTCACCCTACTGATTACAATATCTTGCCCACTTTTGGATGTAATCATTTGACCACTGCGTTTGTCTGCGTTACCCAGCTACATCCAAGGGAAACAACTCACTACCCTAATGTTTTCCAATTCACAATGACATCAATTTGTGAGCACTTGTTGGAATCTCCAGAAGTACCGTCATGATAGAACAATGTCTTATCGTGAAATCAACCATGCCTCGTTCTTGAGTGTTCTTTGCGATTTATCACGTAGCTATCTCACATTAAAGGTTATGGTTTGTTGAGGTAACGTGTCTTTCACTGATAACCAATCCAATACAGGGGCAGAGGTGGTATTAGTTAGTGTTACATTATCAATATCACAATTACTGTATCAAGTGTATTACACTGAATGTTAAGATACAATGTAAATCAATGATGAATTAAAGGAAATAAGCCTTTTTAATATCCCAATTTTGAAAAGAATAATTTTGGACCAAATTGACTGCAAAAGCCACTTAGTTTTGAATCTTAGATAAACCAGTTTAAAAATGTTAAATCTTGCCAGTACATTAAAGCAATTTTTCAAGTGTAGTAAATGTTTGCATTTCAAAACATGAGACCCGTGAAGATCCGGGGTAGAATAGGCCTTCAGCAAGCCATGCTTGCCGTAAAATGCCACTATGCTTGTTGTAAGAGGCAGCTAACGGGATCTGATGGTCAGGCTCGCTGACTTGGATGATACATGTCATCGTATCCCAATTGCGTGGATCGATGCTCATGATATTAATCACTGGATTGTCTGGTCTAGCCTTGATTATTTACAGACCGCCATCATATAGCTGGAATATTGCTGAGTGAGGCGTTATACAAACAATTCAGGACAGCTCCCCTTCTGTCCCCTCAGCAGTAGAAACTAACATTTTTAGTCCACTAATCCTTATAATGATAACATATAGAAAACCCTAAAAAATAGCAAATTTCTACTAGTCCTTACGATACTGTAACTATTGGGCAGTTGGCAAGGACCATAGGACTAGTGCCAGTTTCTAATGCTGGCCCTGCCCAACACTTAATAAGGACCAGCTGCATTGTCAAGTTTCACACATCCACCACCTGTAGTGCTCAACCAATAACAACCAATATTCCCCTACCTGTCGCCACCCTGGAATGTTTTCATCCACCACCTGTAGCAACCAATAACATCCAATATTCCACTACCTGTCGCCAACCTAGAAATGTTTTCATCCACCACCTGTAGCAACCAATAACATCCAATATTCCCCTACCTGTCGCCACCCTGGAATGTTTTCATCCTCGATCACTAGCAACCAATAACATCCTGTATTCCCCTACCTGTCACCACCCTGGAATGTTTTCATCCACCACCTGTAGCAACCAATAACATTCTGTATTCCCCTACCTGTCACCACCCTGGAACGTTTCCATCCACCACCTGTAGCAACCAATAACATCCAATATTCCCCTACCTGTCACGTTTTCATCCACCACCTGTAGCAACCAATAACATCCAATATTCCCCTACCTGTCACCACCCTGGAATGTTTTCATCCACCACCTATAGCAACCAATAACATCAAATATTCCCCTACCTGTCGCCACCCTGGAATGTTTTCATCCACCACCTGTAGCAACCAATAACATCCAATATTCCCCTACCTGTCGCCACCCTGGAATGTTTTCATCCACCACCTGTAGCAACCAATAACATCCCATATTCCCCTGCCTGTCGCCACCCTGGAATGTTTTCATCCTCGACCACTAGCAACCAATAACATCCTGTATTCCCCTACCTGTCACCACCCTGGAATGTTTTCATCCACCACCTGTAGCAACCAATAACATCCTGTATTCCCCTACCTGTCACCACCCTGGAATGTTTTCATCCACCACCTGTAGCAACCAATAACATCCAATATTCCCCTACCTGTCACGTTTTCATCCACCACCTGTAGCAACCAATAACATCCAATATTCCCCTACCTGTCACCACCCTGGAATGTTTTCATCCACCACCTATAGCAACCAATAACATCCAATATTCCACTACCTGTCGCCAACCTGGAATGTTTTCATCCACCACCTGTAGCAACCAATAACATCCAATATTCCCCTACCTGTCACCACCCTGGAATGTTTTCATCCTCGACCACTAGCAACCAATAACATCCTGTATTCCCCTACCTGTCACCACCCTGGAATGTTTTCATCCACCACCTGTAGCAACCAATAACATCAAATATTCCCCTACCTGTCGCCACCCTGGAATGTTTTCATCCACCACCTGTAGCAACCAATAACATCCAATATTCCACTACCTGTCGCCACCCTGGAATGTTTTCATCCTCGACCACTAGCAACCAATAACATCCTGTATTCCCCTACCTGTCACCACCCTGGAATGTTTTCATCCACCTCCTGTAGCAACCAATAACATCCAATATTCCCCTACCTGTCACGTTTTCATCCACCACCTGTAGCAACCAATAACATCCAATATTCCCCTACCTGTCACCACCCTGGAATGTTTTCATCCACCACCTATAGCAACCAATAACATCCAATATTCCCCTACCTGTCGCCACCCTGGAATGTTTTCATCCTCTACCTATAGTGCTCAACCAATAACATCCAATATTCCACTACCTGTCGCCACCCTGGAATGTTTTCATCCTCGACCACTAGCAACCAATAACATCCTGTATTCCCCTACCTGTCACCACCCTGGAATGTTTTCATCCACCACCTGTAGCAACCAATAACATCCTGTATTCCCCTACCTGTCACCACCCTGGAATGTTTTCATCCACCACCTGTAGCAACCAATAACATCCAATATTCCCCTACCTGTCGCCACCCTGGAATGTTTTCATCAATGACCGATCTGGCGACTTCTCGGAATGCTTCATATGTTAGAGCAGACTGGTTGGTGAACAGTCTTCCTATTGCAAACTCCACTTTGGCTAGATGTGTTTCCTGAATCTCGTCCCCGATCCTGGCCAGGATTTGAGCCGCCTCCGTATGCGGGGTCAGAGGGCCAGATGGGCCCATGAAAGGGGACGACATGCTGGGGACACGATGGGAGCGGAAAGCTGAAATGTATTGAAAGGAAATTATTCCCCATTTCTTATTGCATATTATTACAAGTATTTACTTCCTTAGCAGATTATGATACATGTACCAACACTGTCCTGCTATCCAGAGGCTAATTCACAAGGACTAGCTAAATGCTGTTCAGCACTATTTTACAATTGTCCAATAATTTTCATAGCTTGTGACCGATATTACTCTATCCTTCAAATGACTTGACAATTTTACAATAGTTTCTCACACTTTTCAAATTAATTCATTCCATCACAAAAAAACAACGTTATCCCAACATGTACAAGTTTTGTTTGTTTGTTTGTTGTTTAACATGTTTAACGCCGCACTCAGCAATATTCCAGCCAGCGAGCCTGACAACCTGATGCCATTAGTCGCCTTTTACGACAAGTATAGTCACCTTTTACGGCAAGCATGCGTTGCTGAAGACGATATACATGCTTATCATTCATTGCAACAACCTATTTTAATCTTTCAGTCCTTCGATGCAGGAGACTATCATTTAAGTTTGCATGACATTAGGCGTGGGATCTTCACGGGTCCAAACATGTACAAGAATACACTCTGATGACGTACAGATGAGGAAGCAGTAAGGATGTGACAATTTACTGCCACAAATACACCATGATTTATTTTTATTGTTTAAAGCCACACTCAGCACTATTCCAGTTACATGACAGCAGTCTGTAAATACGCTGGACCAGACAATCTAGTGACTAACATTATGACCATCGATCTACTCAACTGGGATACAATGACATGCATCAACCAAGTCAGCAACCCTACCACCTGGCCTGGTCCCATTAGTCGCCTCTTACAACAAGCACGGTTACTGAAGACCAATTGTAACCCAGATCTCCACGGGTCATTACCATTTTGCTAAGATTCTTTATGTGCACGTCACCCTTGCTGTGATTTCAAGAGTCATGACAAAATCTCAACTAAAATGTGTGAAAGAATCTGCAATGTTTCAGTCACAGAGTGACGAAGCACATACATTATCCATAATGATTAATGACCAAACTGATTCCAGAATGTTGAGACAGTAGTTAAAACTTCAATTCATCAGTCTTAGAACCTTTTTGTCAAGAGCTGTTTTCGCAAAAGTTATTGACTAGCGACTAATATCTAAAGCCCTGTGCCCCATTTCACAAAGCAATCATAGCTGTCATTAGTCAAGTTATAAAAAGAGGACTTAATATCATCTTAGTGCAAAGATTGCTTTAAGGACCAGGGCCCCCGTTTCACAAAGCGATCTTTGCACTACGACTATCGTAAGCCTTTGTTAAAGTATGGGATCATCTTAGTGCTAAGATCACATTGTGGAACGTTGTACAAAACGATCTTAGGTGATTGTAACTCCAATACCTTAACATAGACTTACAATAGTCATAGCACTAAGGTTGTTTTGAACAGAGCAGTGTGACCCTTGTTTACATTATGGCTGTTTGTTTGTTTGTTTGTTTGTTGTTTAACACTGCACTCAGCAATATTCCAGCTATATGACTGCTGTCTGTAAATAATCGAGTCTGGTCCAGGCAATCCAGTGATTGACATGATGAGCATCGAATAGCCAAGACCACACATTCCAGTGATCAATATGTGAACAGACAAGACCACACATTCCAGTGATCAATAAGTGAATAGACAAGACCACACATTCCAGTGATCAATATGTGAATAGACAAGACCACACATTCAAGTGATGAATATGTGAATAGACGAGACCACACATTCCAGTGATCAATATGTGAATAGACGAGACCACACATTCCAGTGATCAATATGTATATAGACAAGACCACACATTCCAGTGATCAATATGTGAATAGACGAGACCACACATTCCAGTGATCAATATGTGAATAGACAAGACCACACATTCCAGTGATCATTATGTGAATAGACAAGACCACACATTCCAGTGATCAATATGTGAATAGACAAGACCACACATTCCAGTGATCAATATGTGAATAGACGAGACCACACATTCCAGTGATCAGTAATGTGAGCATCAATCCACACTGACAGGGTACCATGACACGCAATCAACCAACTCACTAACCGAGCAAAACCTGATCCATTTGTTGATCACTTACGACCAGCATAGCTTGGAGGGACCTACTCTAACCTGGAATTCCCTCAGGGCTGTATGACTGTTAAGTTATGGCAGACCTAGGGTGTGAGGTATTACCGGAATATGGGTAAATTGAATTTCATTCTTTCCACGATACGTATCACAATATCATTTTTTCAAGCTCGATATATCGGGTGATTTCAAATTGGGATTAATGTTATATACTGGGCACATGCATTTGCTGCCCAGGAGCGAGCATCCGGGGCCCCAAGATGGCTGTGTATTTATTGACTGAGTAAACATCATGTTGTACCAGCATCTTGTTTCATTCCATTTATGAACTTTAATTCATACATGTACCTCAATTTATCTTCTAAATTGCTTCTAAATCAAACATTTAGAGTTCTACAATATATTGTGATACCTATCAAAATAAGGCCTTGTGCATTGCAAAATATTGTGACACACATTAAACCTCCAATACCCATCCCTAGTAGCAACATAAATCTCTGCACTGACTGGGGCCCTTGTGAGGGTGCAAAAGTTATTGATATAAGCCTCACCGTCCTCAACCTCCGACTCAAGGGAATGCATCTCCTCCTGAAGCTCTTCATGGAGTGACGCCATCACCGCCGTCACATCGGCCTGAGGTGGAGTCACGAATGAACAACGACTCAAGTCAAGATACAACCCCGATCTGTCTGGTCTCCTTGACCTTTGCACTGGAGAGGTTCTAGCCAGAGAAGCATGCCCATTAGCTATCTCAGCTGCTTCCGACCCTCCTGCTGCCATTCCAAGCTTCCCCCCCTCCTCTTCCTCACTATCCCCCTTTTCCCCCACTGCCTCATCTAATTCAAGTTCTGATACGTCAGAGTCTGTAAAGCCATCCACAACATCACCATCGTCATCTGCTGCATGCACAACATTCCCACGTTCTTCATCATTCAAGTCGAAAGCGATATCCTCTACATCTAGTGTTAGCACATCAGCTTCTTGCGTGGCACTTTGATCTGCCTGGGCATCCGGTTCGGGTTCTGACTCACTTGGCACAGTTGACAATCTGGACACTCGTAGATGGTGCCCCGAACTCTTCAGAAACTCATTGTTCCTAGACCCTCTCAAACTACTTGATGCTGATCCTTGTGAAGTGTCGAGTTCGTCGTCCGCATCGCTGATGTAGCTGCTGCCATCTTGACTACTGTTGTCACTAAGACTCCGCTGATAAACTGGAGCACTACCTGCTGGTGCTGATTTTGTCGATTTACCAGAGTCTGTTGATTCCACGCTTAGCCTCTGTTGCGGTAGAGAATGCTGACCACCAAGCTGTTGATGAGATTTTTTCAGGGACCTTTTCCGTATCTGAGATATGGGTAGATCCCAGCTGTTGTACGACGGCCCGGGTTCAGGCTTGAAGTGACGCTGAAGGTTCTCATCTGATGAAAACTGCTTAAATTTGTCTTCAGATAGGAGAGATTTTCTTTGCCTCCTTCTTTGTTTTGGTGGGGAGGGGGGCAGCGACTGGGTCTTCCAGTGTCTTGCGTACCGGCGGACATTTTTCTGTGAGTCATGTTCTTTTTGTTGCTCCTCTCCATCTTGGGTTAAGTGATTGAGGAAGCTTAAGACAATGTACTTCGTTTCATACAAGAAACTATCAGGTGTTGGGCTGGATGACGATTTGTCTGGACTGGGCATTTCAGTGTCACTCATGTTTTTAGGGAATGACGACTACCTACTCTTCTGTGACTTCTGAAAAAGAGAAAAACAACATTGTCAGCAATATTACAGTCTTATCCTTTCAATCTCATTAAAATCAGATCTTAGTTCTCGCTATCGCTAAACAAAGATATGAGGACATCCCATTACGGGTCACGTCAGAACGACCATTCATCCAACCAATCAGAGCGTCGCTTACCAGATCATGAAAGTGACAGTCTGAATGTGTTTTCTAATCATGCAACCACGAAATATTTAACACGGGTTATTCCGAACGACAGTTACAGGTTTTATGATTATATCCATTACAATCTAGGCCATCTATAAGCCATTCCAGAATTTTCTTCTTATCAGTTTCAAATTTTTTAATCGAGAATACGTCAAAATATGTTTCGAAGCGTAGTCGACAGTTTGAAACTAGTGTCGTAAAGCTCAAGAAAGCTGCCTTCTGATTGGCTCATGTCGATTTCTTGTCTGTCATTTCGTTGGTTGGTCAAAATTCGCAAAAGGTCGTTCTGACGTGACCCGTAATGGGATGTCCTCAGATCTTTGTTAAGTGGTAGCGAAAACTAAGATTTGATTTTAATGAGATTGTATCCTTTTGGCCTGTCAGAGGTCTTAAACTTTATTTTTCCAGGATAACCACCTGCCTCCCAGGAGTTTTTTTGTCAGCAGCCATCTTTTCCTGATTCCAGATTAGAATATGTCCCCAGCAACCATAAGAATGTATGTGACAGGATTACTTACAGGCAGTCATCACAGAGCTGGTACAGAGCTTAATGCGCCGTGAAACAAAACAAAAAAAAAGATTTAAAATAAACATCCACATTTATATTTTACAGTCATTAAGGCGACGTTATAATCAAGTCCACACATAAAAGCATGTCCTTCATATAAAGCATAATCAAGACCAAGAGATCAAAATCACAAATGATAAAAACTGGTTCGATTTAAGCCTATGAGTTGGGTTTTATGCTGCTTTGAACTGTGTTATGATGAATATGTTTAAGTCATGGCATGTCATTGTCAGGATGACAGCCCCAAGTGATGCAGGTAATAGACAATTACCACCTGGTGAAACTCACAATCATGGGTGTGGTGCTGATAAAGGATATTAGTCATTGGCAATCACTAGGAATCTGGGTTTCGAAACCTATAATCAGCAGATTCTGGCTGGACTGAGGGAGGCAACTCTGCAAAGTGACACTCTTGCAACTGCTGTGGACGGTTTTAAACCTCATCATGTTTGTCGCATTGTCATTACATTATTAACATCATGACATTCAGTACCAGTAAGCATGATAAACAGTAAGTGATTGATCACACCGAAAAATTAGTGAATACTTAGTAATTACACCTCAGCTTTTAACAAACTTTCCCCATTCCTCAAACGATCTTAAGCCTAAGACTTGGATTATCAATATCTGAAGCCTCCGTTGGTTGGTTGGTTTGTTGTTAAACGCTGCACTCAGCAATATTCCAGCTATATGACGGCGGTCTGTAAATATTCGAGTCTGGACCAGACAATGCAGTGATTGATATCATGAGCATCAATCCACACAATTGGAATCGATGACATGCTTCAACCAAGTCAGTGAGTCTGACCACCCAATCCTATTAGTCGCATCTTACGACAAGAAATACGCAAGAAAGGGTTGCAGAATGCCCTTTCTACCCCTGAACTTCACGGGTCCTCTGTTAAAGAGAATTTTAGGCCTTTTGGCCCAGCATGTTCCACATTGATAGGTTCTTAACTTTCGTGTGTTTTTTTTTGTTTAACACCACACACAGCAATCCTCCAGCTCTATGATGTGATTCAGTAAATAACTGTGTCTGGGCCAGATAATCCAAATGGTGATAAACATCATAAGCATTATCCACAAAATTGTAATAGTGAGTGAGTGAGTTGGGTTTAATGCCGCTTTAAACAGTATTCCAGTTATATCACGGCGTATCAGGGAAGAAAGCCCGAAGTGATGCAGGTCTCAGATGTTTCCCACTTCGGTGAAACCCACGAGCACGGGTATGGTGCTGACAAACCTAGATACATAATCAGGCGAACCGGGATTCGAACCCACAATCATAGGTTTCTGACGTGCCCAAGGGACTCAACTCTGCACAATGAATTGCGGCGCCTTAGACAACTGGACCACCCTTGCCCCGACAAAATTGTAATACGATGAGCCAAATAAATGAGTCTGACCCACTGATACATTTATTGTTGCATCTTACATGTTTTGGTTGCTGGGGATGTATATTCTTACACAGAATCCCTGAGGGTTTTCTGTATTCATTAACAGAACAAGAGGAACTACAGAAACAAAACACCATGACATGCATAATAGCAGACATATCGTCAGATCATAGGTTTTCAGACGTCATATGTTTTCATATTGCCATGTTTATCACGATAACTCCTGTAACAAGGAGTGTAGCATCACACAGACATTGTAAATACTCAGATGATGACTTGTTTTTAAGAGAAAGTTGTCTTTTATAAGTGATTGAGATGTTATACAGTTGTTCATGTGATTCGAGAGAAAACTAGGAATGTTTCTTTAGCGTCCGGAAACCCATAACACAGGGATATAGTATACATTTGACATCGGTGAGCTACTGAATCTTAGATAACTATTACCATGTTACGTGAAGGACAAATATTCAACTTTCTGTCTATAAAGAAACTAATTTCAGCAAAAAACATCATCAAGATTAATTTCAATTACAAATGATCAAGTGTCCTTTCTTCAAGTGTGTGTCTGTCTCAATGTCACAATGTCAACATCTCGTGCAGTAACGAATGAAGTCAGCATGAAATATAACCAGTAATCTACTGTATATAGTTGCCTTTCAAATTGCCAACAGCTCAGTCTATGTGTATTTATGAAGAGAATGGTCGGTCATTTTGGAGCTAAAATTATAAAAAAGATATGTCCATTCATAAACCAACAGACCTACGTCAAGTCCATGACACGACGATGAAGGTGGTTCTGTGGAACGATGCACCCGTTCTGGGAAATAGGGATGTGTTGCGTTCTACGTCATCAAAATACTTGAAGAGTATTTTACTGACAACTAGTAATACTACATATCTTTTCAACTTACCACTTCGGTGAAACCCACGAGCACGGTTATGGTGCTGACAAACCTAGAAACATAATCGGGGCGAATCGGGATTCGAACCCACAATCATAGGTTTCTGGCATGCCCAAGGGACTCAACTCTGCACAGCGAATCGCGGCGCCTTAGACGACTGGGCCACCCATGCCCCCTCTGTCTTACAGATCCAGATACAAATATATATCAAATACAGCCCATGCAAGTCTATAATGTTTGGCAAGTCTAGATTACTGCAGTATCAGTATCTGAAAATGAAGAGAGTCACTGGGCTTCCTTTTATTATATTTTTATTAAGATAACTGAACAACTGTTTCTTCTGTACGATATGTTCATTTCAGAGACTAGATGTTAGTCTATACCCGGGTACTCACAGGATACCCAGGCTCGTGGTTAGTCACGTGATCTGCCAACTGTTTTAACAATAATAATAATAATAAAAAAACACCCAGGTTACACTTCAAGTCGCAAATGTTCGCATTTCTTTCTGACTATGGACTATCTGCCTATATGACTTGTATCTGTGTGAATAAATGTAAAGCTTCAGTTAAGTTCAGTCAACCCTGTGTCATGTATCTTCTAATTCATTTATAAGACAAGATCATAAAAATGTCAAGTAGTTGACGATGATCAAAATAGACGTTGAGATTGACACTGGGGCTGTTATTTTAATCACTTATTTTTCATCACCACCAGAAACCATAAACTATTTTTTTCATGGTCCGTCACCACGCAATCATTGCAATCGACGTTGATAAAATCAACAATTTATTCACTATAACATTCAGATACAACTATTGTCAACATACGAAAGCCTACTGGTGCCACTTTGGTAGCTTAATTCTAGGTTTTTCTCCTTACTTCGATTGTAATTTCGTAATTATGTTTTTTCGTTATTTCAATTATTTTCTAAAGAAATCAAGGTTTTTCTCGCTACTTCCATTATTTTCTCGTAATTTCGTGTAATTCATAGGTAAACTGTATTATTACCAACAACTTGCGTCATATATTTATTTTTATAAGACGTCCCTTTTGATTCGTACGTCTTTCTCTTAAATTAACTCTGACAGATGCCACCTTACCGTGCACTAATATTTTAAATAGTTCTTTAGCAAGTACTATCCATTGATTTGCGTGGTTCGTCATCAGTTTGTGTAGTCACACGACCGGCTATATTTCCGGGAGAGAAGTTGACTGACTGAGGCTGCCGGTGTCAGAAAATTTATTTATTTTTGTTGCTTCACTTGAACCATCAAAATGGCGTTGAGCGACGCAGATGTACAGAAGCAGGTTAGTTGAACATGGATATCAACCCTAAACTAGTCCTTTTGTGATTGGATGCGGTATTCAGTGACCAGATGACAAAATAGTTTCATCTCCAAATTCGCCGAACGAATATGTCGATTATTTGTCTGTCACGAGTGCAGAAACATGAACTCTTGTCATTGACGTGACCGTGGGGGTGACTTTGAGATTTTAACATGAAATGCTTACATGTGCTCACTTTCAAACCGGAACTGTATCTCTTCTGATCAGTAAAAGACTATGTGTAAAAATAGCTGAATAGATCTGAGCAGCGAGCACCTGATTGTGACACCGTCTCAACATCTGGATGTTGGAAGATTTCAACATTGAACGCCTTAGTTGATCATTTATGATTGAATGAAACACGGCACAAACATCTCAGTTGCTTAAAAAGATTCTGGATTAGGCCATCATAGTAAACAGTTAGGGTGAAGTCAGTGCTTTTTCCTAAATAAGATGGTACAATGTCGTACAAACAGGATATTAAAACTTACTACTTTCAATTGAACAACTTCCATTGTATCAAGACAAAGTAAATGATCAACATTATCATGATTATACACAGGTGTAATGATACAGTTTATTTAATATAAAATTATTTTATGTTTATATCAGATTTGGCACAATTACCGTATGGGACTTTTGAGCGTCCACAGGGACATTCGCTAATATATTGGCTGGAGAACAATCCCAATAAGCACAGACTCCAATTGATAAGTGTACACAAAACTTATATCCTCTTTAAATATATCTCTCGTGTATAATATGCACAGACCTTTCTTTGGTATCATGTCAGTATATGACTGTCATGATCAGTCTTCGTAAATAGAATATCATCAAAACGTGTTGAATTATGCAATTAAGTTAGCCCTGTTGTTTTACTATTAAAATGTTCACTGTATTGCTGGACTAATGTTTGTAATCCATTTTATTAATTTTATTCAAAATTTCAATCAATAATGGTTACATTAATTTCAGTGAAATCGTGTGTTCACAGGGCCAGATTTACCACATAATGCGATAGCACCATCTCATAATTATTCGCAGCAACAACAATAATTTTTCTTCTGTTTCATTTTTGATGAATCTAAATGTGAAAAACTATTTCCAATTTGCATAGTTTTCCCTTGTTTACATCACATGCAGTCATTGAAGCCATACCGAGAGGTAGCGATGTGGTCTCTATGATGTAAAAATATATATTGTTGTGCACCTCACAACTGCAGTTTTAGGACCATATCTATATGATTAAGGAAAAGAATATGTAAAGCACACAGTCTGTTCTGATTTCAGCGTTTGTTTAAAAACAAGAGAGTGGTCCGGTCACATGATATGCAAATTTGTCCGTGGCAGTAGTGTTATGCAAAGAAATGTAACTTATAGAAAACAATGATTAATTAAAAACTGGATGTAATATTTAGGATTTTTGTACTTATATTTTCTTCAAGAATGTTAATAAAACTGTATATATATTTTACTAATGAGTAGCTGAAACAAGAAGTGCTAATTAACTTTAAATATTTCATCATTTAAGGTTAGTGCTTGAAAATCACAAACACAAAGCATATGTTTTTTTTATTTTTCAACTTTTTCTGCTGATTGCCAGTACTTCCTGTTTGGAACAATGGCGTTGCCAATCTTTTTTACTCATCATTAATGTGGATCTGCGTTATGTAAGTTAATACATGCAAGCATGTAGCAGTGTCTGCTCTGGCTTAAAGTTTCTTGGGGTCAGTTGGACCCCTTCAGCATAAAATTAGGGGTCCCAAACAAAAATGGAGGGGTCCAATTTGTAGCATCATAATATAACATAAACAACAGAATACAGTGGTTGTGAAAAATCAGACATCTTTTCGCAACTGCAAAATATCAACAAACAGGCAAAGTGAGAGAAAGGTTCACATCAGGACACATCCTGCTCTCGTGACCAAGAGGTTTACATTAAGGGACAAACAATTTCTTAAAATGGAAATTTGATACTAATGAATATTTTAACACAAAACTATACATGTTAATATCTAACTTTGTAAATGAAAAGGCAGTACACGGGTGATCAGCCATTGGTAAGGGGTCATAGGGGCAGACATTTGTTAATGTTTATATCTAGATCTTCCAATGATTTGAAGTTTATGGATTCAGTCAAGTTCAATGGCTGTTCTGATGCTACTGTACTGAGTAGTGAGTTCATGTCGTAACTGTGACAATGATCAATGAGTCATAACATAATTGGGATATCAAACAGTTTTTTTAAGTAAGAGTATGTTCAGGATCCAGCATTTCCTTCATAAATCTAGTCAACAATGAACATGTTTCAGGTGCTATAAATGTTAAAACATGTCATTTACACTAATAACGGTTCTGTCAAAATGTGTTTTGCAATTCTTAATATAACCCACAAGAGATTGAATTATAATCAGCTTGATAAGTCTGTTGTAGAATAACTAAATATTCAGAGTCCGCTAAATAAAAACAATGCTTACATTCAAGTGTCCGCATTTATTCTTTATCATATACAGTATGGCGGTATCGATAAATCTCGAAATCCACACAAACTGTCGACTGTTTACTTATGCAAATCTAAGCACGATATATTTCATTGCATGATTGAATACAGGACTCGTTGCGGTATGTCACGGCTACTTGTACACACGTTAACTTCTTTATGATAGTTTCTGGGATGTTTTTGAAGTGGAATTACCCCTACCTCCATTCGAAATTGATACGAAAAAGAACCCATTTGTTTAAACGAAGTTCCTTGATCAAACCTCGGTCGTATGTAAAATACAAAACAGGACGTGATGTAAACCATATAACCCACACAGGAACTTTGTTTACCAAACTCGGTAAAGAAAATCAGCATCGATCAATCCAATGAACAAAAAATATTTGAATCACATATTTAATAAGGTTATAAGCGTGCCCCATTTCAATCTACTGCGATAACATAGCGTACCATCCTACACGGTCGCTCGATTTCGCGGGTCACTGTTACCACGTTCTGAAGTATACCCTTCATGTGCCGGGCTATTTTTAGTTTGGTCGAAAATATCCCGACCTTGTGTCAATCAAGCTAAATGAATTACGACTATATCCGACCTGCTTAATATGCGGCACCTGATTGGCTGAAGCAAAGCTACGGACCATACCAAACATTAATACATACAAAACCGAAAATAGATATAGGTCAAGAAACCGGTTTGGGTATTTGTCACAAACAGGGAGAGAATAATGAAACTGGTTTGGTTTAGCAAACGGAAGTGTTAATCAACATGCTTCCCGGTCTTGTTTGGCAACAAATACCTTTACGCAAAGACGTACGTCTTTGATTTACGATAACAGTGCCAATTCGATATGAAATTAATAACGCCCCAGTCACTGCGTCCACGAGACCCACACATGTTACGCAGGTGCGTTCAAACTCATTTTTGTGCGTCCAAGATGCAAAAACGCGCTCTTCAGCCAACACTGATGTAGTATTGTTTGTAAGAGAAGTATATATCTAAAGTGGTACAATACGGAGACAGATCGTTTTCTGCATTCACCATACCATGAAATTTACGATCTATCAATTCTGTTTTTGGTTTTTTTACCAATTATTTTCTAATAGGCACCCCCTATTTCTAATTTTGAGGGCGTCTGGATGCTTATAACATCTAATTTTGAGAGCGGCTTGAGGGTTATTATGTCTAATTTTGAGAGCGCCTGAATGCATTTTAGGTCTAATTTTGAGAGCACCTGGATGCTTATTACGTCTAATTTTGTGAGCACATGGGCAGTTATTATGTCTAATTTTGAGAGCACCTGGATGCTTATTACGTCCAATTTTGAGAGCGTCTGAACGCTTATTAGGTCTAATTATGAGAGCACCTGGATGCTTATTAGGTCTAATTTTGAGAGCACCTGGAGGCTTATTACGTCTTATTTTGAGAGCGTCTGAACGCTTATCATGCTTATTAGGTCTAATTTTGAGAGCACCTGGATGCTTATTACGTCTAATTTTGAGAGCACATGGGCAGTATTTATGTCTAATTTTGAGAGCACCTGGGCGCTTATTAAATCAAATATGATTGGTGGTTCTTTATGGAATTAAATACACACACGCCCTAACATGTTTTGTTAATTGCAAATTGAATGTAAGGTGAAGGTGATAGTGCTGAGGTCAGTGGAGGAAGTAGAGGACCTTGCAGTGATAGATGAAAGCTGACAACCCAGGAATTTAAGCCTGGAGGGCTATATAGATAAGCTGTTTATATAGACCCACTTGATGAACACTGGGTCTCAGACATGTTACACTTGGGCAGATGAGGATTCTCAATGAACACACACCACAATTAGGGATGTTTAGTTCTTGTAACCTTGGTTGTGATAGTTAATAAGCAATTTTGTTCTCAAAACATTTTTTTCCTCACCAGCTTTCGACTTCCTGTCCCAAACGGTTGAAGGGGTGAGCCTCAAACTTTTTGAGGATGTCTAGCACCATAATAGAACTCAGATTTGTTCTTGGGGTTAGCATGGTTAGAATCAAAACATTGTTGTTGTTGATTTTCTTAAAAAAATGAAATTTGTGATAAATATGAAAATCATCTTCTTAAAACTAGCCCTGCACCATGACTGTGGAATACATGTATCAGGGATCTATCTAGGATTCCAAATTAAGTGCCCTTGGCAAACGACTTGGAAAAAATCATGATATTTTTAAAAATTTGATTATATTTGGTACCTTATTTTTAAAAATTCTGAGATATTGAGAATTTTTTAGTTCAGATTGTGAATGTTTACTATCATTTGCTACAGACTTGGGGCAGAATATCGAGCTCTGAGCAGATCTAGATAAATCCCTGTGTATCTTATGAAACAAACACCAATCTAGAATACTGTATGAAAATGAAAGTCTAGCCAGCTCCACTCCATAATCACCTCAGGAGGCCTACCAGAGAAAACCAGCAGAGAGCAACTAAAATATGGAATTTGTAGAACATACAAATTCCGATGAAGACACAATCTACATAAAGTGTGCATTGGAATAATAAGAACCTGGCACATTTTCAATGGAGCCAAACTCAGTATATCACAAAGACAGCAACAAACTGAATGCGCATGCTCTCGGTTTCTTGCAGTCTCCATTGAACATGTACCGCATTCTTATCATTATGAAGCACACTTTATTGGGATTGTGTCTTGTTTTTAATTTGAGACTATTTCTATTTAAAGTTCTAATTAAAAGTGTGTACATATCCCATAGTTCGGGTTCTCTCTGCTAGTTTTCTTTGGTAGGCCTGTACCAGTGTCTTTCCCAACTTTGAGGCCTGGTACCTAGGGTAGGTTGTCCGTCAGTCTTGCCCAGAACAACCAGTTGATAGTTTACCACAAGGAACAAAGCATGTTTTTCCTAATGGATTTTGTCAGGAATCTGGTGTGCAATGTAGCGTTGGGGATAAAGGATAAAGGTGGGACCTTTGTTGTAGTTTTAAAAAGACACCATTACTGTACAAAGATTTCCCCCAGTTGAGAGTACTTTAACCATGAACATAATAATGGATATTTTGTTGAGGTGAAACAATACAGCAAGGTCATGTATCATGATACATAGGTCATGGTACATACATATCACAATACACATATTTAAGTTAAATTGCATGGAACGTCTTGAGTATAAATATTTCAGAGCAGGTTCAAAAGGAAAAGCTAGCTGTAGACACATGTTCATAGCGGCTATTTTAGTCATGAAGTTGACGTGCAAATTACAACATATTTTAAGATGTTTGACTGACAAAAATGCTGCGGGGCCATAAAACGAGTAATACGGAATTAATTTTACAAAGTGTAATGCATTGTATCGATACAGGAAAAAATGTATTGCATCTCATATCCATGATATTGTTGCATGAAAACTCACAGTGCGCAGATGTACTGTTTCACCCCTTATATTTTGTATGTCAGCTCAGCTTTCACTCACACAAAGAAACTCTGCCCTTATTAAAACTGACGTGAGTATGAAAGTTTTTTGGGGGGTCACATGATCCTAGCAAGCAAAGTGTCAAAATCGCCCATTCCAGGATCAAGTGCTACTTGGTCTTTATGGCCAGGCAGCATGCAAACGCTCTAATAACAAGTAACAGGATTACATTTTAGAAATATAGGACTTAAGGCATGTAAGGGCATCTCTATGCTTTCTGTTACCATGGTAATGTTCAACATGTTTCTTATATTTTGTGGGGGGCACGGGTGGCCCAGTCGTCTAAGGCGCCGTGATCTGGACACGCCAGAAACCTATGATCTGATGATTGTGGGTTCGAATCCCGGTTTGCCCCGATTATGTTTCTAGGTTTGTCAGCACCATACCTGTGCTCGTGGGTTTCACCGAAGTGGTAAACGTCTGAGACCTGCATCACTTCGGGCTTTCCTCCTACTTTAAGCTGACACGCCGTGATATAACTGGAATAATGTTAAAAGCGTTAAACCCAACTCACACACTCACTTACATTTTGTGCCATGGTTTAAACAATACCGTATACGACGTAATAAACGCCCCACTCTAATAAGCGCCCACGGCGACATTTGCTAAGATATTGGCTGGTGAAAAATCCCAATTAGCACCCCTTCCGATTGATCAATGTACACACGACTCATTTATTCCTGTATAATACGCACTCGTGTGTTATATGCACCCTTGATTATGGGCAATTAAATTCAGGAAAAATATATGTCATACTTAAATATTTCAGGCTGTCAGCATAAACCATGAAATTTATCTTTCAACTCTTTTTTTTCACAAAAATAATATTCTAATAAGAGCCCCCTATTTTTAATTTTGAGAGTGCCCTGGATGCTTATTACGTCGAATACGGTAACTATCGTAAATTGGAATAATACTCTGTGAAGCCATGATGATTTGGTGACGGCTCTGTTACGGAATATACAGAATAAGATTATGTATGAACTAGCTTAATGGTGATATTCCCTGCAGATTTGGCAGTAAGTAGTTACCATAGTTACTGAGTTGCGTCCCTTGGGCACAACAGAAACCTATGATTGAAGGTTCGAATCCCGGTTCTCCCCGATTATGTTTCTAGGTTTGTCAGCACCATACCCATGCTCATGGGTTTCACCGAAGTGGTAAACGTCTGAGACCTGCATCACTTCGGGCTTTCCTCCCCCATTAAGCTGACACGCTGTGATATGACTGGAATACTGTTAAAAGCGGCGTTAAACCCAACTCACTCACTCATTAAGTTATCCCTGCATAAATGGGCCACCACTCACCATTGGAGTGAAATATGTTGAATTCTTTAGGATTTTTTTTGCGTATTTAGTCAAAGATACTTCTCTGATAATTGATCGATATTTAGTTAACGATTATCAATCGCTATGATCTGTATCAATAGCCTGCCCTATTATTGACACAACTTAACCATGATTACTTAATTTGTTCCTGGTGAGTTTACTGTCTATATTGTGTATCAAGGCCACGTTCCACAAAGCGATCTTATGTAAAGGTATGAAAGTAACGATCATCTTAGCGCTAAGATTGCTTTGTGGAATGGGGCCCTGGACCTTACTATCCCAGATACAATGTGTTTCAAACTAAGTAATGTGCTGCAGCCGCGGCTGAGTGGAAGAAGGACATTATTTGTAAACCAGGGTTAGAAACTAACAGTTTTTGTCCCTTAAAATGGGCCAATTTCTACTAGTCCTTAGGATACCTTACTATTGGGCAGTTGGGTAAGGACTACAGGACTAGTGCCAATTTCTAACGCTTTAAACTGGGAACTATTTTACAGGATAAATATATCCTGGTATTTGCCTGATTATTCATGATTATTCATGATTATTCATGATGATTCATGTTGTATTTCAGATCAAACACATGATGGCCTTCATAGAGCAGGAGGCCAATGAGAAGGCCGACGAGATCGACGCCAAGGTGAGTTGCGGGAGTAACCATGGTAACACTGCTGTTGTAGTAATTCCAAAAGTTTTTGAATACCAGTTGTACGACATTCAAAGATTGGCAAATATGTTTTAGGCAAAAGTTCAAGTTTATGGTATAATTCCAGTTTACTATGGATTTTGTCCCTTTGACCATGTTGACATGAGTTACACTGACAAAAGGTTTTGGGTTTTTGCCAGTTTTGATTAAGGGAGGGATCAGTTGACTTGTTTGGTAATGGATGATGCTATGTTGATTGTAGGCTGAAGAAGAGTTCAACATAGAGAAGGGTCGTCTGGTGCAGCAGCAGCGCGTCAAGATCATGGAGCTGTACGAGAGGAAGGAGAAGCAGGTGGAACTGCACAAGAAGATGTGAGTGGTGGGGGTGGGGAGAGTGTGTTGGGGTGGGGAGAGTGTGTTGGAGGGGTGGGGAGAAGGCAGGGAGAGGGTGTTGGGAAGGGGTGGGGAGAAGGGGTGGGGAGAAGGTGTTGGAGGGGTGGGGAGAAGGTGTTGGAGGGGTGGGGTGGGGAGAGGGTGTTGGGAAGGGGTGGGGAGAAGGTGTTGGGAAGGGGTGGGGAGAAGGTGTTGGAGGTGTGGGGAGAAGGTGTTGGAGGGGTGGGGTGGGGAGAGGGTGTTGGAGGGGTGGGGTGGGGAGAGGGTGTTGGAGGGTGAAGAGAATGAGTGGGAGGGTTGGGGAAAGGAGTTTTGATTGGCTGATAGTGTTTTTAAGAAGTGTCCTGGGGAGATGTGTTGGAAGAATAAGGAAAGTGTTTGGGAGGGTAAGAGAGAGGGGCGATGACAGTGGTTTGGATGAGTTGGGGTAGGGTTTGGGAGGGTAAGAGAGAGGGGCGATGACAGTGGTTTGGATGAGTTGGGGTAGGGTTTGGGAGGGTAAGAGAGAGGGGCGATGACAGTGGTTTGGATGAGTTAGGGTAGGGTTTGGGAGGGTAAGAGAGAGGGGCGATGACAGTGGTTTGGATGAGTTGGGGTAGGGTTTGGGAGGGTAAGAGAGAGGGGCGATGACTGTGGTTTGGATGAGTTAGGGTAGGGTTTGGGAGGGTAAGAGAGAGGGGCGATGACAGTGGTTTTGATGAGTTGGGGTAGGGTTTGGGAGGGTAAGAGAGAGGGGCGATGACAGTGGTTTTGATGAGTTGGGGTAGGGTTTGGGAGGGTAAGAGATAGGGGCGATGACAGTGGTTTGGATGAGTTGGGGTAGGGTTTGGGAGGGTAAGAGAGAGGGGCGATTACAGTGGTTTGGATGAGTGTTGGGGTAGGGTTTGGGAGGGTAAGAGAGAGGGGCGATGACAGTGGTTTGGATGAGTTAGGGTAGGGTTTGGTGCAGTGGTCTGGGAAGAGGGTGTTGGAAGGTTGGAGAGATTGTGCTTTATCAGAGGAAGAAGCAAGAACTGCACAAGACAAAAACACATGAATGTGTGATGTAAATGCAGTGGGAAGATGCTGTACATTGGTGGTGAGAATTGGTTGTACGATGCTAAATGGGCCCTAAGAGCAAGTAGGATGTCAGGCCTTTAACCTTTAGCCTGCTGAATTATTTTCACACTTCTTACCCCTGCCTGCTGGATTAATTTTAGCATAAGGCGCTCTAAAGAGGGTGGGTGATTTCAAACAGTCGGTGCCTCATTAAACAAGGGGCAATTGAAGAAATATTTTGCACATTTATTCCTGATAGAAAACTACACAGTACTATATAAAAATATCCTGATGTTTTCAATCATACCAATGTTAAGACCAAAGCGAACACAAAATTTGTAAATTTTCTTGAACTTACCTGAATTGCGTTATTGAAGGTGGTTTGCATTTCATGCTAGGAACCTTTTAATATCGTAACATTTGTGCAAATTGATTTCAATAATCATATCTCCGATATCTTAATTTTAATTGAGTAAAAATTCGGGTTTTTTTTATCAGCAAATAACAGCGCGATGGTAAATTAGGAACCATTTCAGTGAATTTATTATCTAAACGTTAAACATAAAAATAACTTAATTTTCGAGGTCATCATGTCGGTTGCAGAAATACGAATATTCGGGTTAATCTGACGTGTCATGTTATAAAATTTGCAGGAAACAATTAATGACTTATAAATATTCACTAATCCTAATTTCAAGCGTTTTGGTTGAATATTTACGATATACAAAAATAAACAACCCGTGTCATGATGCTAGCAGACGTCCTAAAATCAAACATGGCGCGCTTCGCTCGACCTCCGCATAACTTATTGCTATTTTAACATCAACAAAGTTTACATTGCCTTTAAAAATATAACTTGGCGAAAGTTGACGATCTTCTCAATCGAAGAATGTTTTATTCGTCATATTCCAATAAATATGACGAGAGAAAAATGAAAATAAAGATCGTGAATTCTGACAGCACTATTTCAATAAGTGCATAGGTCACCGGATGTGATGTCACAGACAGGGGTAGTCTGCTGATAAGCTTTCGAAACAAAACAATTACAGTAAATTTTGAAATAGTTCGCCAATCACATACAGCAAAAACATAAGTCGATACACAGTATCAGTAATCGCCACTAACATGAAATAAAAATGTGACTTTGACGATATAATTCGCGTATTAGTTAATCCGTTTGACCTTGCATACTCCCGTGACCCGGAAACGGTAGACGATAAATCAACATGCCACATGCAAGTTTCTCGGTATCTTTTATTTGAACTTCTGTTGATATTTAAGAATCACCATTCAATGTTGTGAATATAAATGGGACATGATTCATATTTCTGCGATGTAAACGCTGATAAGTTTCACTACAACAAGTGTATCCCACGTAATACGTCTATGGATATCGTCGATCAGCAAGATCACCCTCTTCAACAGGTGCGCGAAAATGGGCTTGACAAAACGTGTTTCAAAATAACATCCCCGCGTTGCTGAATATGATAGGGTATATATAAGCAATAAAATGCTACGTACATATTTTCGGTGTTAGTTCCACATTACATTTAGGATAGCTTTCCTTTCGGGAATACATTCATAGATTCTAGCATGATTTTAGAACAGTTACACGAAGGATTTCTAAATTTATTCCAAAAATATGAAGACCACCATGATGGCGTATTGATGATAGATTTGTAATTGTTTAATTATTTACAGCTGTTTACAGGTTTTAAAATTTTAAGTTATATTTAATAGTTATTTTTCCCACAATGATGGTGTGTGGGGACAGTAAATATTAGTCTTTGCATCAGCACAGTGTAACTGATCAAACTTCAATTATTATCTTTAGTTTAAACATATTTATTCAACAATTATTATCTTGCACTCTGAAAATCAACTATGTGAATAAGTAACTCTCTGATGTCATCATTTTAATTTTAGTATTCCATGAATAATGAATAAATCAGATCCTTAACATATACATACTAAACTCATATGGACATTAATCTTGTGCATTATGTGGTTTGTTTCCAAGTAAAACAATTCTAAAATAAAATTTAATAGGAATTAATTTAATTTAATTACAGTAACAGTACTTGTAACAGTACATGACATTTTTGTTTGTTTAATCACAAGAACCATGGTGGCACATGAGCTGGTAAGTTTGCCACAGGTTTCTTAGAAAATGCTATCTCAGTCTTCTGGTTGGAATGAAAAGAAACATGCCTGTGTACATGTTTACCCTTGCCAGATGTATTTTTTCCAGTCAGCCAATCCATTACTTTTGTTCATCTTATGTGGTCTATTTTATACATACAGGTACTGCTTCCAACCTGTTTTTTCTTTGTATGCAATCACAGTATCACAACTTCCTCAGCTGGTGTGTATAAAAGTTCCCCTGTCATCATGAAAAAAGAATTATAAAGGAAAGTCATATTTTCATTCAAAAACATATCTGTCTTTCCTTGAATAGTCTTTGTCTAAGTGCCAGAAATGTCAGTGTCATAAAAAAAATAAAAACAGATTTTCATAAGGACTTTTCTTAGGTAGACCTAGATCTAAGTCAAACCATGTGACAAGTTAGGTAGAATTATAACCTTATAAGCCCTCATTTCTGAGGTGTCCATATTTTAAACATTTTTAGGACTAAACGTGATCTGTGTAGATCTGCCTGTTTTGTTATGTAAAACAAATTCTTGTCTTAAAAAATGAGAAAAGGAATCATTCAGACGAAATTTTTTTATCCCATTGATTCACGAAAATCAGTTGAAATGTACAGTGGTGACTTTTGTACCCAAAATTTCTAGTAATTTGTTACCCAAATGGGTATGTGATTTTGTAGATCAACCTAGAATTATTTCAAAGATATACATTAATTTGGTGTCTTAAACTTAACATATCACTTTCCTATCAAAACAATTCATTCTAACTTAGGTTTAACCAACTTAACTGGCCTCTCCTTCAGTGACAAGACGTCAATTTTCTCTCAAAACCAAACAATCAATTTCAAGGATCACAGTCATAATCATATTTGGAACTTGATGAAATATTTTATTGTGTGTTCTGTTCATCTACATGAAAACATAAATATAATTATAGATCTATTTTCTTATTTTCTTAGGTACAAATTCACAAAGTATTTTGGGTACAATTTAATTTGTTTTGGGTACAAAATCACATATATAGGAGCCTAGAATCTATATATATTTACACTAGCCTACCTCGTTGTGTACCAAAATTTTATCGGTTCAGAGGACGGGAGGTTCTCAGAAAGTTTTCAACAACATCTTTAATATTTAAATTGTTCTTTTTGTAATGTTAGACCTATAACAATATTATGTTATTATTATGGCATATCAATACGTTGTATCGCTCTCCGTTGCGTTCGTTTTTAGAAAATATTTTAAAATTAATATCATCGAGCGTGAAATCCATTACGGTTTCGGATTTAGACTTGCACATTTGATGGCGACAATCACGAAGAAATATGAAACAAATAGGAGTAAAGACTGCTCTCCAGATCAATAAATAGTAAAGAGTTGACGAAAAATAGTAAATTATGTATTTTCTTTTGAATTTGAATCTATTTCGGAATTTCTTTATGATAGCTTACCAACTTTTGCATATTTTGCTTCCATGTGTCACATGCGGTACGTGCTTCCGGTTTCAGAAATCATAGCTAAAATTGCAAGTATTTTGATTATTTCTCATAAAATGCATTATTTTGCTATTGAATGGTTTACCTAGAATGTATATCAGTTCAGATTTTGCGTATCATCCAATATTTGTCATTTTTCGCAGTGTTTGTTGACTTTGTTCAACTCAACAAATCGCGAGTTAGGCCACGCCCAAACGTATCACTGACGTTTGTCAGCTGTTTTTCGGCTTGTCAATGTGTCGGAAAGTTTATCAAACGAAATCATTTCCAAACTCTTTAAAAATGAAATTCTTTTTACAAAGATTTATACATACGTGTCAATAATTCTAGAAAATTAAGTTAGATGTAACAAAATGATTGTAATAGTCTAACGGGATAACTATGCATGTGGAGTTGTTTGTTTACCGCCGTTGCCATGATAGTACAAGTTTCATCCAATCGATGATGTTACGATTCAGATTGTTTTTGTTTACAATTAGTTACACCGAAAGTTGCTAATTTTTAGAAATTAAGGAACATAAGTGTTTTCCTTTCGCCAGCAAACAAAAAATTATGATCGAATAGGAAAAATGATGAAATTATAAAGAAAATATCGGACTGCATGCCGCTCAACGTGAAGTGCCAAAAGTCAACAATGGCCGTTTCTGGTAGTTGTGTGCCGAGAAGTTTGGCCGAAACATTTTTAACTCGCGATATTTTCTTTTTGAGGTAAATAAATGACTGAACGTTTTGATATTGAGCAAGCTGAGGATTTATGCATGTCATACGTAATTTAAATGTTACGCAAAGCCTTCTTGGTAAATAGATATGGCGAGTTTTATTTTGGGGTGTTGTTATGCTATTCGCCTGTCGAATGGGTTCGACATCAGATGCACGGGGATGGACACCTCTGTCGAATGGGTTCGACGTTAGCGTGCAGAGCTTTAAAGGGGGCATTATTATGTGCTATCACTTTAAGGACTTGTAAATGTTGAAGCTCTGTAGCATCCCTGAAGTGGACCAAGTTACATGTAGCGATGTTCTCTGTCAACAGTCAGATGTCCAACTTGTTGAACCAGGCCAGACTGAGGGTGCTGAAGGCCCGGGAGGACCACATCAAGGTGAGCAGTAGGGAACATTAGACAGCTCGCTGTGCAGAGTTATGTCCCTTTGTCATGCCAGTATCCGCTGATCAAGGGTATTAATCTTGATTAAACTTGATTATTATGAATCATGTTCATGTGACTCACAAACTTAAAATTCTTTGAGCTTTGGGCTTTGGGCTTTGAGCTGACAGGCTGTGATATGACTGAAATGTTGCTCACAGTGTCCTTAAGCATGTTAAGCCCAACTCACTCAATAGGCCATATGTTGCATCATCTGGTCAAGTACCTATTGTTGTTTCAGTCTGTGCTGGAGGAGTGCTCAAAGCGACTGGGGCGTGTGACTGAAGACAAGGCCAAGTACCAGAAGGTGTTGGAGGGGCTCATCTCTCAGGTGGGTTGTACATGGAATAGTTCAGGTGTTGTAGCTTAGTGCTACAATCTAGGATAACTTATTTGAATGTGTGAATCCCAGACTACATGATATTTTATATGACTTGTGGAATTTGACCATGGTGTCTCCGGCTGTGATGTGGAACTGATGTGGTGGGTGTGTTTCAGGGCCTCTTCCAGCTCCTGGAGACCAACGTCACCATCAGATGTAGGGAGGTGGACCGCGACGTCGTCCAGGTAACTTTTGTTCAGTGCTTTGATCCCATGCTTGTGTGAATGACATAATAAAAAATTAAGGTCTTTGCTTTGGTCTTATCACGCTTCGATAGCTGCAGTTTGTGTTTTTGTACCACATGTTACATGTTAAAAGAATTTATTTGTATGTGGAGAAAAGGTTCCCAAATTTACTTTTTGTGAGAACATTTAGCATGTTTTAAGGCAGACTTAAGTGCATGATGTTTCTCTAAAATGTTAGGGGTGGTCGGGTAGCCTAGAGGTTAAAGCGTTAGTTCGTCACGCCGAAGACCCGGGTTCGATTCCCGACATGGGTACAAGGTGTGAAGCCCATTTCTGGTGCCGTGATATTGCTGGAATATTGCTAAAAGCGGCGTACTCATTCACTCACTCTAAAATGTTAATCCCCAAGAATGTTGATTTGATGACATCTAGAATTTGTGTTCTGTGTGTTAAGGCTGCCATCCCCGGTGCAGTCAACAGCTACAAGACAGCTACAAAAGGCAGGGACACGAAGGTGACAGTCGACACGGACAATTACCTGCCATCAGACATGTGAGTACTGGCTTCACGGTAATAAACTCTCTGGGAATTCCTGGTTAGAATCAGTTCCCACCAACCTAGAGGTGCCTAAGAGGCGCCCTACTGCATCAGGTGGTCAGGCTTGGTGACTTGGTTGATTGTGTGTCATCGTAACCCAACGGCATGGATCATTGTTACACAATATCAATCACTGGTCAAGACTAGAATTGTTACAGGCCATGGTCATATAGCTGGAATATTGCTGAATGCTGCATTCAACAAAGCAAAGACAAAAAAAATAGAGATAACAGATAACATCTTGTACATTCTTACTAATAATAACAAAATACATGCCACTTATCATAAATACTGTAAATCTGGAAATTAATGCGTCTACCAATTAATACGACTGCTGACCCATAGCCAAAATTGCGACTAAATATCAATGCGACTCCCCACACCCGTTCCCCAGTGGAATGACACATCTCCTTACCTTAAAGAGAAGGTGCCAACAAGCTTGACACGAGTGGGTAGAACTCTTTGACCCCAGCAGTGATAACTTGCCGGACGCCCATTGTGTAATTCCTATTCTTTCAATGACATTGTTATATACTTGTCACAACTGCTGCTCAATAAACCGTGTTTGTGTTTTTATTCAAGTTGGTATTTCCGCTCTCAAAAGTGGGCGGTGAGGCAGTCTCATTGTTGATAGTCATTTGAAGATATAAATGCGAAGTTAATTGGTGCGAGCAAAGACCACTCACATTTTTTGCATTCAATTCACACTCACATTAATTTCAAGATTTACAGTAGATGGCATACATGGCAACTGTCTGTTGAAGAAATAAACAAAAAGTGCCTTGTGCACAGGTCTCGAGACTAGTTTTTAAAGGGAGGTAATTATGTTTATTATTTTTGTTGTAAGTGACTTGTTACTGACACTAAAATGTCAAAGCAAAAGTGAAAGATTTTGTGAGGGAAATGGCTGATAACTTTTTAATTGCGGGGTTGACCAAAAATCCATGAATCCATGGATTACCAAACAGGCCGAAAAAAGGATTTTTTTCAAAATTCACTGAACAGTTTGGCTGTAAAAGCGAAAATGAACGGTGCAAGATGCATGGTTGAGCGAGTTTGCATTAATGGGTGGAGACAAACATAGATGGCAGTGACTGAATTATTTTGTTGTGTCTGCCCTAAATATCCTCAACTCGAAGGTTAATTACAGTAAATTGTAGAAAAAACCCTGAGAACATAAAACTTTATAATATATAAGTGGGCAAGGGACACTATATCTGCTTGCCCTGCAGGACAAGTTGGGTTTAAGAAATATTTCCAGCCCTGCTGTAGTTGACTCCTACCATTGCCTGTGCATCAACCAACCAATTCCTGTTTCAGTGCTGGAGGGGTGGAGCTTATTTCACAGTTCAAGTTCAAGGTGGAGAATACACTGGACAGCCGACTGGATCTCATGAGTCAACAGGTTGGTAAACAGCATAGTGTATAACACTGTTTCCCAGGACGTGGCATCTATCCAATAACACCTTTGCTTGTGGCCGCCAGCTTGCTGTATTTCCCATGGTGTTTGAGTTCAGGCTGTGTATTACAACTTAGGTACAGGGTGGCCAGTATAATTAGTTATTATCAGTGTCTGTCATTCGTAGAGCGTTCGCTCGTCACGCCGAAGACCCGGGTTCGATTCCCGACATGGGTAAAATGCACGAAGCCTATTTCTGGTGTCCCCCGCCGTGATATTGCTGGAATATTGCTGAAAGCGGTTTGAAACCAGATTCACTCACGCTTGTTCACTCACTCACTCCACTCCACTCCACTCCACTCCACTCACTGTCAAGAGTAGATAATCTTGGTGAGGTTACAGTGAGTCACCTGGCTGATTGTGTTAGTATCCTAATGTCGGTTCTTATTCTTTCAGCGAGGGAGTGAATGTTACTTTACCCTAGTCAGCAGTATTCCAGCTTGTTTGTGATGCTATCTATTCCCAATATGATTCTGGAGATTTTACTTGTTGGTTGTGTGGCCTTAAGTGCAATAAACATCTTGATGTCTTGAAATATGGGTTTCAGAACGTGACTAGATTTAAATTGTGTATCTCCTGACATAAAAACATGCATTTTGAATTCTCAATTTCAGATGTTGCCTGAACTGAGGGAGATCCTGTTTGGGAAGAACCCTAACCGTCGCTTTATGGACTAAACCCCGCCTCATTTCACTCACTTCAGCATATCAACATTCCATGTGACATGGCGAACAAACTACGAATCTACATGACATGTAGCCATAGATTAAAGCACTAGTTATAATCCAGGGTTAGCAGGTATGGCAAGGATTATCTCCCTTCTTTAGGTTAATTATCTCCCCTTGAACACATGTAAATCCATAATCACAGTGCTCAGACTTTTTTCTGTCTGTCAAACTGTTCTAGTCTTTCTTTAAGATCGATTTATGAAGAATGAATGGGAATTTTGTTTTGGATGTCGTGTTTATTATCAGAGTGAGTAGACAGTCCCCAAATACTAGGTTTGATTAATGGTGCTTGAATTGAAGTGTGGAATGTTTATGTCTATTTATCTGATATTTCATCTTTTATGTCCAAATACGAAAAGGAACAGAATACTGTGTACATATATATTTTCCCTGTATATTTGTTTTTTTGAAATTTGAAAATACCTGCATGGGCTGTGAGTTGGCAAGGATAAGGGCATGGGGGGTAAAAAAGCAGTGCTATCAATGTGTGTTCCTGTGCATTAGTTTTAAGAGAAATTGATACATTATTCATAGGCCTCAAATTTTGATTTTATGTCATAATTTTATGACTTTTACTTTCATGAATGTTTCAAGTTTACAAAATGAAAATCATTATATAAGGTTGATGTGCTTTACATAACCGATTAAATGATCAGCATTTTCAGGTTGATCACAGATCACTTAAAACATTGTTTGAAATATTTGATATCTGATTACAATCCTTAAAAGTCATTTCATATAGTATTCATTTGTGTTTTCTGTTCATATGAGCAACGAGCAATTGTATCTCAATTTAGTTGTTTTCCATGTGTTATGCCTGTTTAAAAATGACAAACAATAGAAATATCTTTATGGATGAAAATAAAGTTCAGGAGGTCTCAAATTGTGGTGAAGGAACTATGATATTACAGAAATATGATATTAACAAGAGGTTTGATTGCAGAACTTTGGCTTTATTCTGAGAAAATATTGAAGTAATTATGTATCCAGTATAACAGTTTCTCTTTACTTTCACTCTGTGGGTCCAGAATGGCTCTAGGAGGAATTCCATATTAATAATTTCATTAAAATGTATTTAGACTGCCTAACATTCTCCACTTTTGAGGTGTTATATGTATATATTTTGATGCATTGTTTGATTTTGTTCGAAGATATTGATTATCAGATACATTTCCTTGTGTAAAAAGCAGTACTTGTTATTGTTATTACATCGGAGATCTATAACCTGTTTCCCCATCACTGTTAAACTGTGTAGACACCTCATCACTCCCCACAGACTTCACTGTCATTGCTAATCAAACTCTTCCATGATATACTTAACATGATTATACACTGCCTTCTATGTGCACCGGTACGTGGCACCGGCAGTCTGTGGAGGATAGTGGCATTCCCTTCATTATCCAACTGTGCAGCCACCTTGCAACACATTATTCCTGAGTCGGTACTGGGACGACAGTGGAGACGTTTGGTTTGGGGTTACTTTGTGCCAGCATAATAGAATTGCGTCATATCTTGCGGATCTGTAGTGACCAAACATGTTTACTAAGAGAACATTTTAAATTTGACATGGAAAAATTTGGCAATGAAGACAACACAGAATTTTCTTCGGTATGTATGAGAGTACAATAAGACATGTTTGAAGACCCTGTTATATTAATTGACAAGCCTCCTTGAGAAGTTTTGGCAGGTCGTCTCTCTTCCATCCATTTGAGGATGGAATCATTCTCAACATGGGAGGAATTCCACCAATTTGATAGCCACTAGAAAATCATTTAAATTCTCCCTGAACCCCCTCGGTAGGACTGTCTGAGAATGTCCACTGTTGTATCTGTAAGTAGAGAAGTAGAACACTGTTTCACTGTTTATGCAGTTCAGAGCACCTGCCATGTGTTGATGCAGGTGCAGACATTTTCCTATGGTTGTTGTATTGTGAGTACTGGCGTCGTGGCTTGCACCATTGGTTGCAAGGGCCTCATCATATTGGCTGTGATCGGAGTTGGGCATGGGTCTACGTTATTGACAACGTATTATTAGGCACTGGGACTTTTTTTGTTGACTAGCACTGAGGTAGGCTACATTGTATATTGAGTATGTAGAGAAGACTGATACTATGGAGAAGCTGTAGACCTTGGAAATAAAGCATTTCAGGAAGTTCCTTGTTTGTGTTGTTGCTGAAATATAACATTGTTTGTTTGTTGTTTAATTCTGCACTCAGCAATATTCCAGCTATGTGATGGCAGTCTGTAGATAATAGAGTCTGGACCAGACAGTCCAGTGATTGACATCATCAGAATCTATCCATGCATCTTGGATACGATGACATTCATCAACCATGTCAGCGAGCCTGACCACCGGATCCCATTAGTCGCCTCTAACGACAAGCATAGTCGCCTTTAAGGCAAGCATGGGTTGCTTCACTTCGGGCTTTCCTCCCACATTAAGCTGACATATAACTGGAATACTGTTAAAAGCAGCGTTAAACCCAACTCACCCACTCACTCTAAAATTAGGAAAACATGATTATGATTTTACCAAATTTGTCTGCCATTGGAACGTAGTGTGGAATCATAGATGAATCCATCCCTGGTAGAAGGCAATTCTAGCAAAGGTTTTGCCCAATCCATCTTAAGACTGTTACACATTTGATTCTGTTGTATTCCTTGATTCTGTTGACATTCATCAACCAAGTCAATAGGGCTGAAACGATATCCCGGGACACCGATGCATCGCGATTCACTCCATACGATACGGTGCGCGATTTGTGAGGTGCTGTATCTCGATTTTTCACGATACGTTTTTTTAAATAAACTTTTAGTTCTATCACAGATACGTTTTAAATGTGTTGTAAGTTTTTAACTCTTTCAACACCGTAGGCCGGTAAACCAACAAAGAAGCATGAGTCCCCAGACACCGTAGGCCGGTAAACCGACCAAGCCGTAGTCACGTCAAAATAGTATAGTTTTATATACATACCTGTCATATTATTCATGTATTAAATCTATCACATTTCGCAATGTCTGAAATACGTATTCCATTTCAATTTATCATTTTTTATCGATAGATTAAAAAGTTATTCACTAGATCTATTTCCCGCAATGTATTGCAAAATAAAATTCTCGGACACACACTTCGACAACGGGTCCACATCGAACATGTCAAAGAGCAAAATAAAGACGTTTCAAACAATTCTTTAAATATAGTATACAAAGTCATAAATAAAATGAACAAAGATATATCTAAGAGTTGTCAAACTTACAGCGAAGTTATTATTTCCATCTTTTCGTGCGATCGTGTAAATCAACTGACATCTCGGCTTTCGTGGCCTCGAATTCTCGGGACACGATTTTTAATGCAAAAAATTATGCATGAAAATCTTTGTCACAGCTCGTAACCTAGCACAATACATTCATGAAGCTCCATATTTGTAATATAGATCACGATTTCCTGCTTAAAACGTTCAGAATAGTTCGATTTAACAAAATCCTTCGTCAAAATCTGAAATATCGTGCATGCTCAAATTTGACCAATCACGAACCTTGTAGCAGATTTCGGCAAGAGAGCGTCATTAGAAACCCTTTTTTATCTAATGAAATCGCTTGTTATAACTACCGGGGATGTTACGAACGTGTAGATGAAAGAATAAGCTTTCTAGCGATGTGTCATGCCAGTCTTCGACGACCATGTTATTCATACGAAGCCTCGAAAACGGGTTTTTTTCTTCATGTTACTGAGCGGACAGCCGCTGTAATCGGGAAATGGGTGATGACAGATACTATTTACATAATGAAAATAAAAAAGAAATAACCTTCATATTTATAAACAATAGGATCAGACTTTTCAAATGGTGTATTACACTGTGTAACATATAGTAGCAAAGGTGTTTTACAAGCAAATATTTTCTTTGATAAATGTTGGCTTCATCTATCACCCAAGGGTCTCTGGGAACTCGGTGTCACAGCATTAAACGCTTCTGGTTGACTGATGTTGAAGGAGTTAAAAAAAAAAAAAATTCAAACCGAGTCATAAAAACGTAGGGGCAATATAATTTTCGCTACACACACGTAAGTCTTCGAATACAGCGGCTATGCTAGCTTTGTATTTCAGTAGCAGGTCGAGCTTTCTGATTGGCTGAGCGGTCTAAAACTCAAACATGTCGGCAAAAGCAGACGCTCCGGCTCCGCCCTTGCTGGAGAAACCACCAGGGACGCACAAATCTGTAGTTTGGGAACATTTCGGGTTCCCAGTAAGATTTGATGATGGATTCAAACACGTTTGCAAAGATGAAACGTGCTGTCGCATGTGTCACGCAAGACTGAAATACACGGGCAGCACTACAAACATGACAACACACATACGCCGCCACCACCCCAATACAGACATTAGTGGTGCCACGCGTTCAGGGAAAAAGACAAAGCCTGTTACTAACTTTACTAAATCCCAAACGGATGTTAACATGAATGATCAGTCACACCCAGCTCCAGTTGGTCAACTTCGTTTACAAGAGGCTTTCAAAAACAAGTTGCCAGCAATGTCAACCCGTGCCCGAGCCATTACTAGGAGTATCAGCATGTATATGGCTCTTGATATGAGACCATATTCTGTAGTTGAGAATGTTGGGTACAGAAATATGCTGCAAACATTAGAGCCCAGATACGAAATTCCATCGAGAACCCATTTTGCGAACACTGTTGTTCCTGGCCTGTATGCTAATACCAGGGATCACGTCCTTGAAACTCTGAAAAATGCATGTTCATTGGCCCTAACTACCGATGGATGGACTTCACGTGCATGTGAAAGTTATGTGACAATAACTGCACACTATATAACTGCAGAATGGATGCTGGAAAACCCAGTTCTACAAACAAGGCCCTTGCATGAAAGCCACACTGGTAGCAACCTAGCTAATGTTCTAATTCATGCATTGGAAGAATGGAAAGTTGATATTGAGAAGTTTGAAACTATTCCAGTATGCACTGACAATGCCAGTAACATTGTTTCGGCTGTGAAAAAAGCAGATGGTTTGAGCCCACACATAAGATGTTTCGCCCATACCATCAACCTGGCAAGCCAGAGGGCAATGAATCTACCAGCAATGTCAAGGATCTTGGGGCGTGTGAAGAGAGTTGTTTCTTTCTTTCATCGAAGCCCAACAGCAAACCATTTATTCAAGAAGAAACAACAGCTCTTGGATTTGCCAGATCATTCCCTGATTCAGGATGTATCAACCCGTTGGAATTCAAGTTATAATATGCTTGAACGCTATCTAGAGCAGCAAGCTGCAGTTTTTGCCACTTTAACAATGAAAGACATTCGTCAAAGTGCAGAGTCATTGATCACTTTGTCTGATGATGACATTTCCGCTATCGAGGATACAACAAAAGTGCTGAAACCCTTAAAACAATAACTACAATCTTATGTAGTGAAAGTTTGCCGACAGTTTCACTGATTCTTCCAATGAAGCAAATGATCATGAAGTCCATGGCAGTGTTGGATACTGATTCTAACATTATCAAAGGTATCAAGAAATCCATCTTTGATGACCTTAAGCCACGCTACACAGAGGATGGTGTAGTCAAGTTTCTGGAGGTAGCGACAGCACTGGACCCCAGGTTTCGATCTATGCCCTATCACAATGATGGAGAGAAGCTCCGTGTCTATGCTGAAGTTGCAAACAAGACTTTAGCAATAGCAACAAAAGAAAAGGTAATCTAAAATTATTCAGTTTTTATGTTTCAATTTCATTTTTTCTTATTTTTCTATATAAAGTATATAAATAGTGATTATTGACTTTGAATATCACTTTAACATGAAATTTTAATGAAAAAACCCAGCATTATCACGTATTCATAATTTTGACATTTACAAATAAGTGTTCATAACATATTTTGAATTTCTTCATGTTAACCTCTTTCATATTTCAAGTGCACATATTCCCAAATCAAGGCACAAAATATTTTTTATTGATGAATAAACTTTAATTACACATTAAATCATAACTGATGTTGATATTTTGCAGATGCAGATGCCAACAGTGAAACAAGAGCCTGGGGCGGATCCACCACTTCCTGATTTGCCAGTTGCAGAACCCAGCACCAGCCAAGATGTTACAGATGAACCAGTAGTCAAGGTGAAGTGTGAGTCTGAGCAGCCAACCTCCCATCGCACTCACAGTGCCATGGATGAGCTGTTTGGAGACGTGTTCATCACTCAGGTGGAGAAAGCAAAGCCATTATCACAATTGGTGGAAGAGGAAGTGCGGTTATACAAAACTGAAGAATGCATACCTCTTGCATCCAGTCCTCTAGTGTGGTGGAAGTACAACCAGTACAAGTTTCGCTATCTTTCGAAGTTGGCAAAAGTCTACCTTAATGTACCAGGAACCTCTGTACCCAGTGAACGTGTGTTTTCCACTGCTGGGGACATTGTTTCTGCTCAACGGGCATGTCTCACCCCTGATAATGTTGACAAGCTCATATTCCTAAAGAAAAATCTGAATTTTTTTCTCTAAGTTCCCATGATGAGAGGTTATGTGATTTTTTATAAGTAATGGTTATTACTTTACTTACTTAAATCATTCCAGACTGATCTGTTGGCTGCAACAATAACAATTGTTTTTAATTGTCTTTGCCATACTGTAAACAAATGGCAAGTTACTGGTTCTTATCTTTTATTTTTGTCAAATGGCACTTCAAAATGCTGCAGACTTTTGTGTGTTTGAAATGTTAATTTCATTTAATTTTTCATTTCAATAAACTGAGTAAAATTCAATCATCTTTTGTTTTCTCTTGTCACAATGTGTATCGTAGCGTATCGAGATACGTATCGAATCGTGATGTGAGTATCGAGATACATATCGTATCGTGACCTAGGTGTATCGTTGCAGCCCTAGTCCTACATACGTGGTTTTGATGTTAAGGTGTAATGCTGCACATAGGAACACTTGTAGGATTGCCACTGGCATTGACAACTGGAACAAAATTAAAGTTTTAGTAACCTTTATACAGCCAGGGACGTTATTTTGAGCTGCGTTTTCAATCCGAACTTATTGAAGTTGTTTGACATCGGGATCTCCAATTGTGATCTGTGTAACTTTAGCTTCTTCACACCTATATGATACATGTTTTACATGTCTTTACAGATACATGTTTGTT